CTATATTGACATTGTTTATGCAATACAGAGAAAGGAAGCCTCCATCAAAAATTAAATTTAATTCAAAGAATTCTCCAGAGATCACAGAACTGGGATTTGGAAATCTATTGTGGGTATGATTTTGGGTAAATAAATGTCGTTTATTGAGCTAAAGAGGCTATAATCCTTGGAGATCATTTTGATGAAAAATGAACAAAATGAGGAAAACCAAACTTTAAAAGTGAATATTAAGCAAGCAGTAGTTTTCTTTAAAATTCAAAACCCGCGATCCAAAGGAAGCCCCCGCAGACATTGATGGATGCACTGACTGTCTTGGAAGTCACCTTCCTTCTCCCAGAACAGGCTCAATTTTTTTTCTGTGATGATCTGGAGCAGCCGTCGCCCGGCTCCATGCACCTGTCAATACATTTGACATAAACCGGTCGCCTCCGAGCTTACGCACTGTCGGGAGTTTCGAATACGGGGAGTTTCTGGAGCTGGAGCTGGAATGGGATTCAATATGGAAGTGGGACTCGGAATGGGGTATGGGGAATGCCTGGCGGACCTGTTGCCATCACCATCATCATCATTTGATGCGTCAAACATGCGCTCAAACGCCTCGATAGCGACAGCGCCTGCAACATTGGGAGTTGCAACTGCAACTTTTGCTGCAACTGCAACTGCGACGCGTTGGCGACTGCAGAAAATTTTTATTATTATTACGACCATTTTAGCTACCAAGCAATGCGTGGAGCAGACGGTCAAGTGGGCCGAACTAAACACTGAAAATAATAATTTTTATATAAATTCTTGGTGGGAAATCATATTTTCTTTGGATGCACCCCTTGCACTTCCAAAACTAGGATTTTTAAACCTCTTGATATTACTATATAATATTTTAATAATTTAGTATCACCACCCTTTATCTTGCAGTGCAACCTCTATGTCTGTGATGCGTCTGCGCCGGCGCAGCAGTCGGCCAATAAATTGTGACGCTAATGTAAAGTGTGGCAAGCCATTAGTAGAACCAACGGCAGTCCCATCAGGATCGGATCGGGTTGTTGAACCCCCGGGACAGCTTATGGGTGACTCGAATTGAAATCTCTACTGTCTGTGTGGGAAGAGAGGAAGGAAGAGGCTGAGAGATCTTGGGAGTTGGGAGCTGGGTAGCTGGGAGCTACTGCCACGCCCCTTAATACCTGCCCACAAAGTTGGCATTTTTATGGCATCCGCTGTGAGCAGATTTCACTTCCAGCGGAAAACGGAAGCGGCCGGTTGGGCTGCTCTGGACAGGTGGGGGCCTGGGCAATTCAAATCAACTCCCCGGCGGTGGCAACTTCCTCAATGATGGATGTGGCGATACTCAAACTAAAGGAGGGTTATTAGGAATTTTTCAGGAAAAGTAAGACATATTTTTGTAGTTTTTAAGAGCTAGAAGCACAGATAAATCAAAGTGAAAAATCTATATAAAAGATTTTAAGAATTAGAGGACTTTTAGCAAAGGTAAGATAAAGTTAATTTCCCTTAAAACCATTTATGTGAATATCATAAATAATTATTAAATTTTAAATCATACTTTTTATAGAGTATCCCATTACCAGATTGTGAATATCAGCCTTCCTTTCTGGCTCGTTTTTTGTAGGCGAAGTGGACTCTCGTTTGTGGTTTCGATTTAATAGATTAATTAGAGGCCACACCGGACCAGCGGCCGCCCAGTGATCAAGCAAAAGTTGTTGTCGCCATCGGACTTCCGTCAAAGAAAACTTCAAGCCACCAATTGTCACAGCAGCCAAGCCATATCAGACTGCCCCTTGCATGTTAAAGTTTATAAAGTGCAGAGGTTTTCGCATTTTGTGGTTTTTTCCCCAAAAAAAAAAAATAGAATTTTCCGCCACGACCTCAACCTCAGATGAGGAAGAGAGGCTGAGCAAACCACAAGGCACTTGATGCCAAGCGATGGCGGCGATGGTGGCGCTGGTGGCGATGCCGCATTTTCCTCAGCGGGTGGAGCAGGAGGTGGTGGAGGAGGTACACAACGAGGACAGAACGTGGTTAGCAAATTTATTATGTAAACGGAAATACGGCATATCCTTGCCCAGGCAATGTCGGCGCCGCAGCAATAGAAATAGTTTCCAGCCCGCTGGCAAAAAAAAGCAGGACAAAGGACTCCAGGCTAGCAGGCAGTGATGCCTGGGTGTTTGGAAAACTAGAAAAAAATATATAAATAAATAAATATTCATAATTTAAAATATATTTTATAAGTAATTAAATCTAGTTTAATTTTTTGGAAACAACAATACTAAATTTGTATACCTTATAGTTTGATCCTTTTTTGGTAATAAAAAAAACTACAATTTCTATTATTTTAAGCACATTTAAAGGATTAAGCCTTTATGTTTTAATGTAATTCAATGTAATTTTGAACGTATACATATAATATAAATAATTAAATTTAAGGCCAAAAAGTCATCTCTAAGCCTAGGGAGCAATACCAAAGGAGCAGAGGGAGCCAGCTCGTAAATCGCATAAATTGTATAATTCTGGGCACTTCGTTGTTGTTTCTGTTTTTGTTGTTATTGCATGTTTGTTGCAATGTTTTTTTCTTTTTTGTTGTGTGTCTGTTTCATGCATTTTGTTGCCAAATTGCGTTTGTAGGTGACTCCATGTCCTTTATCTCCGCCCATCGTCCTGGCGGTTCTCGGTTCAAATGAAACAATATGTTGCCAGGAAAAGAGGGGGCGCAGCATGCTTTACAGGGGGCCAGCCCTGGCCGATGACAGGGGCGTGGCCTCTGTGGGATTAGTGAATTAACGACAGATTGCGACACCTGCAACTTTGGAATTATCCTTTCGGAAGTTGGTCCGCTCGGATTGAATCCCATTTGCCGGCTCAATTAACAGTAACTTAAGGGAATCGGGTTCATTTAAATTCATGAAGTTTCCTTGCAACGTGGCCAGGAGGAGCAAAGCAGAAACGACAATGACAGCAGACAGCAGGACGTCAGGACAATGGACTGACCACAACAGCCGCAGGATAACGTTCGACAAAAAAAGAACTGTGTAGGGAAACAGGGAAAAGGAAAACAATTTTATGGAGGAAAAGCATGGAAAAAATAGTCAAATGGTTTAAGAAAAAAACTAAGTGAAGGCAGGATGAAAATAAGTGCAATTTGATTCGGTCTAAGGATTTGAAGAATAGTTCAAGGAGAAGCTTAATTTGGGGAGGTTCTAAGAGTTACTTTTGTAACCTAATATGAAAATTAAGAGTAATATAATGACATGCTTTAGGCATTCTTTTTCTCCATCTTTATAGCAATCCCTTGCCTAGAACATTCCCTTACCGAAAAGTAGTTACTCCTTGACCTCGCCAGACTCCCATTCCCCAGGGGCAGCCCCATTTACCATGTCCGCCTGTCCACATTTGATTCCATTGCTCTCTTTGGTTGAGGCCACACGAACGCATCAAATAGGCAAAGTTTTTTGGTAGCCAGAGCGACGCCTCTAGCCAAATTTATGACATTGAATTTATGTGCAACAAAGCATGCCGCCCAAAACCAAAAAATAAAAAAAAAAAGTCACGAGAGGGCGGGGCAGGAAACGGAAGTGTGAAAGAATCAGACGATCGATTCTACGGAATTAACAACTGGGCAAGTGTCGCAAATTGCATAAATAGAATAGTAGAAGAAGGCCAAGAAGCCGCGAAGAGGCCAAGAAAAAAGCGCGTTAAACTGCTTAACACTTCTGCATGGTCACCCAAAAGAATATGGTAATGGCAATGGGAAAACTGTGGCCATAACTCATCCGACAAAAGGCTGGGGAAATTGTCTAAGAAAAGCCAAAAAAGGAAATGGCAAATGCATTAAGAAATAAGCAATTTTCTTCTGCTTGGAGCAGCAAAAAGTGCCAGGAGATCGGCCAAAAGGAGCACGAGCCAATATCGAGGGAGGAGTCCCCCAAAACGGTTAAGGCGAGCCAAGGACATTTCGTATTGCAGCCCTCACTTGCCTCTCCCTGGATATTCCATGCTAAGTAGTTGCATTAAAAGCTTACAACAAAACCTGCGACAGCAACAGACAACAGGACAAGAAACAAATTTTGGTAACTCGCAGTTCCTTGGCCATAAAGTCGGCCCTATGCCCCCCAGCCACGCCCTTGACTCCACGCCGCCCTCTTCGGTGGTGCCTTTTCCTGGCAGCGACTCAAAAATGTGCGACTGTTTGGGGGAAATTTGCGATGTAAGTCAAAAGTTTCAATTTAAGAGTTGCTTAAAGTTGCTTAATTAAACTTAAGCTTTAATATTAGCAATATATTGTTTTCAATTTTTTTTAATATAAAAAAATCAAACCTAATAATATAAAGCACTTGAAATTCATATTGGAGTTTTTGAAACTAAATGCATTAGCCGTTCTGCCCTAACTTAAGTTGTATTCAACTTTACTTTTAAAGCATTTTTTACGTTTCTATATTTTATTTAAACGTTTTTATTAAAAATTACTGGCGACATCCTGCGGCATTATTTGAAACTAAAATTTGATAATACAATCCGATAGGGGGCTACTATCATAAAGGAGCGAACACACTAAAATATATTGCAAATTAAAAGTTGTTATCTCTTATAATTATCGATGCTAATCCTAAGAAAAATAAGTAAATTAACAGTCTTTTGATTTAAATTAATTTAATAATACTTTCGTAAAAATAATAAACAAGTTAAATAACTCTTTTTGGCTTCAAATGCCGCCATTATCAGCATGGTTATGTCCAACTAATAAAAAAAAAGAAAATAGTTTGAATAAATTTATTTCGCAAAGCATATAGAAATTATATTATATATAAAGTTTATAGAGTTTTACTTATAGTAAAGCTTAAATTCAAATGTCCCGGGCTAAAAAACAACAAACAAATTTTGAAATCACATCACTAGGATAACTATCGGTTGTTTATTTCCTGTCGATAGATATAAAAACAGCGGGAAATCGAAAATATGGCAGCACCAATTTTGTGTGTGACCTTATCATAACATTTCACAAAATACCAGGGTTCGAGGGAAAAAATAATACATTTTTTTGGGGAGAGAAGGCTATTTGTTTGTTGAAACTGTGAAACTGTGAAAACTTGATCTGAGACCGAAAATCGGATCTCGGTTTTGGGTTTCGTGGACAAAAAAAGGCGACTAATTGCGGCACTCACCCACCCACTCACCGACACCAACACACAATCGCCCTCTCGTGTAAAACCAATACAACAACCAACAACAACATGCAATCATTGCAAAGTAGTTAAATAATTCTGCCCTGTCTGCGCTTTATTTCCTTCTTCATTTTTGGTTCTTCTCGTTTAATTTCAACAAGTTTCTGTTCTCGCTTTTCCCTCTCTCCGGCCCCCTTTCCCTCCACCTACACAAACACCAGCAAACACTAACACACCTGACGCACACCGACACCAACACTAGTACAGGTCTCGTGTGACGTACGGCGCGAAATTGTCGTCTTTGGCTTTTTGTTTGTGCACTTTTCGCCAATTCCCTTTGTGTTCTGTGACAAGAAAGGTGTAAGGGGTGGGAGAAACGAGCAGCACCTGCAAAAAAGGCGGCACGAGATCGGCAGAAAGCAGAAGAAACATCAGCAAAGCGACCGGCTCCCCAGCACACACACACTCTCACATACAGCAAAAGTAAGTACCAATAAGACCCATCTGCGACACCGAAGAATACATACCCTAGCGAAAACAAAAAAGTGGTCAGTGATGAACTTTCGATACCCATTGGTAGACCTTTCACCGAAAGACAGAAAACCTTTCACTGAACCATAATTCAACTAATAGTGACCACTAGGGCCAACTCTCCAAAGAGAAAGCCAGGTTTTCCATATGTCCTCCAACCAAACCAAACATACCAGTCGACTATGTTTATTGTAGATTGTAGACCCTCCTCCAGGTCGCTCATAGAAATGTCTATACATACGTCTATATGTACCCCATTCATGAGGGACACAATTCCGCAAAAGCAAACCGGGCCCCGTAACCTAAGTATGCCGGAGGAGGAAGACCGGCTGATAAGGACGGACGGACCGGCGCTGCAATTTGCCGATTGCGGGACAATCTCGCATCTGATAAGGCCGGAATCACGATTCTCATGTGCGCGCACATTCAAATTAAAGGCGTCAGGCTATAAAATGATATATTAAGAGCTTTGCCATTTATCAGCAATAATTATTATTTTTGAACCTGCAAACGCACACACATCTGGGTTTAAATCAAAGGGGATCGTGCAGCATTAAGTTAAGACCCACGAGTGAGCTGATTGTAATTTCTGTTTTCTATTATCAGATGGTCAAGGAAAAGCCCAACTCAACTCGTATTTACGACAAGGATGGTTTCAGGCGACGAGCTGCCTGCATTTGTGTCAAGTCGGAGAATGAGGCGGAGGTAAGTTCCTGAAACAGAGATCCCATTGCGAAGACTATTTACCTTCCTCTGTAACTTAAAAGGTACTTCTGGTTACCTCCTCTCGTCGTCCGGAGTTGTGGATAGTTCCAGGAGGCGGCGTGGAACCCGAGGAAGAACCCTCTGTGACAGCTGTACGCGAAGTCCTTGAAGAAGCTGGTGTAGTTGGTGATCTAGGTCGTTGCCTGGGAGTATTTGAGGTTTGTGTTCCCCAACCAATATGGATACGTTTAATATAATACCCATTTACCTTTAGAACAACGATCATATGCATCGCACCGAGGTCTTTGTAATGAATGTGAAACAGGAACTGGACGAGTGGGAGGACTCACGCAGCATCGGCCGTAAGCGGCAATGGTTCACCATCGATGACGCCTTGTCGCAGTTGGCGCTGCACAAGCCCACTCAACAGCACTATCTGATGCAGCTGCAGCACTCGAAGACACTGGACAATACGAATCGCGTGGTGAACGCTACTCATCCGCCCAAGTTGACCAATGCCGCCACACCGGCCGCGTCGCCCACCACGGCATAAAGACACCAGAGAGCAGAAATCATGCATCTACACACCACAAGCCACACACCACACACTTAACCCAAAACTAATCCAAAAACAAACAAAACAATGCTAACCCCCTTATCCCATACACATTTTGACATTTTCGGAAATTTACAAATAGACAGGCAGTCTTCTAGATTATTTTGATTAAGCGAAACCTATGTTACCCCGCATCCAGCCCCCTCTCACATAGCCCCATTTGCGTTTAAGTTTAAGTCAATGCGTTCATTCATGTCTTTAGTAATTGTAATGAGATCTAAATTTATGTGCGTATTCTATCTAGAGCGATTGAAGTTAAGGAGGAGGAGAAGAAAGCATTAACGCTACTCGATCAATGAATGCTATGCGATAACTATGTAATTCAATATCTATAAACACAAAAACCACAACAACAAAAATGGACATGTAATAATTTTTGAGCGAATAGCACTTTTTGCAAACACGAAACTAAAACTAGATAACTAAACCCAGGAGAAACGATATCTATTAGATTTTTCTACTCTTTTTTATAATTTACTCAAAAGGCATCTTACTTGAAAATTGGATAATGATTCAAAACAAGCGCTATCGTAAAACTTTTGTTATTATGCTAAGCGGCCTAAACAATAAAATGTAACCCTAAATAGCGATGACTAACGAAACATATTCGGTACAGCTATATAGTTTCGCCCTCATGGTTATCTGCAAAAATATTTTTTAAGCAGAAATATGACGACCAAACTATGCAGCTACCCCAGAATTTCGTTTTAAATCTACTGCAGACCGATAGCAGATGGAAAAGGAATCATTAAAGTTCATTATATAACAAAAAACAGTTGCCTATGCAAAAAAGTTACAACAGGGGATATAAAGATAAACGTTAACTTATTGTAATAATAAAAGAAATGCGAGAAATTAGAGAAGCCAGCAAACAACATATTAGGAACTAATTCAACTACCAAGATATGTGCACGTTGTACTTTTCAGAAACAAACAAAAAAAAAAAAACAAAATGAAAACAATTAACAATACCAATTATGATTACAATAATATTAACACTGCTAGGGGAGAAAGATGTTTTCAATGTGATTTAAGAGATACAAGATACATACGAGTTGATGAACAATTTTATGTAACATTTTTTTGATGATTTTTTGGCACTTCAAAAGCGCGCAACAAACGAAATTTTTTAATTAAAGCTCAATGGAAGCAAAGTCTGGCAGTTAAATCTATGATTTTTCCAAACTATCAATTGTGTTTTAGTTGTTTTAGATGCCGGCAAAAGGAACTTTTATCGGAACGCTAAATTATATCACAAATTGTTGCTATTAAACAATGATTTACAATCAATAAAAACGAAAACACGACAATCCTCTGTTTTTCATTTCCCAAAATTTTAAATAAAATGTAAACGGTAATTTAATCTTAAATTTTATTTATTTTTATAAAGAATTTGGCTAAACTAAAACTATTTTTCTTTCAGGTAACTAAAACTACTTCAGCTGGATCCTGGTGAAGGGATGAGCCTCGATGTAGGCCAGAGCCTTGAGGATGTAGTCGGGAATCGGAGGTGGCGTGGGTAGATGGGCACCCCTGGGCTGGTATCCGTTCTCGTCAGCGGTGTACTCCAGCTGGATGGGAGTCCCATCAGGAGCTGTGTACTGGACGGAGCCAGCAGCATAGGCACTGCCCACACCGCTCTCCTGGGCATCAATGCCGTTGGAGGTCCCGTACTCCCAGCTATAACTGCCATCGGGCTTCACCTCACTGCGGTACTTGGTAATCTCGGCCTGAGACTCGTCGGCTGAACGGACCACAGCCACCAGGAAGAGGGAAATGATTAGCGCCTAGGGGCAAAAGGAAGAATTTGTTAATACGGTCTATTATCGTGATTATCGAGATCGCAGTGATAAAACTTACGCTCTTGAACATTTTGAGGTTTTTTTTGGTTGCAGTTGCTGGCTATTACTGGTTTCGAAATCCAACGACTGACCGTTTTATACCCACTGCTGAACCGATCACTGACCTACACCTACAACACATTTAAAACAGGTGACTCTTGGCTACCACGAATTATTAATTTAATTCGCGCATCTCAAAATATGAATTTGACCGAGTTTTACGAGCGTTCCTCGCTTAATAGCTCTGTTTGTTATTGTCTACGCGTTTTTTACGGGGCCCAGGTGCTTTGTAACCTCTACACCTGTAGTCTCTGTAGGGCATTCTACTTATCTGCGCCTTAGAAATCACAGATCAACGATCGCGATTTACTAAAAAACGCACAATGCTTCTTTTCTTATCTAATCTTGACTTAAATTCATAATAAATATATGAATTGTTAGTCAAACTAGGCGATTAAAGAAAATTAAATTACCGAAGTTTTAATACGCTTATTTAAACTTTTAAAATAAAATAAAAGTAATTATCTCTAAAGCCCACTTTTAAAAAGAAATCCTTACTCAACTCACGGTTTTTTCAATGTTAGGAATTCCCTAGGATTAAACCTGTTGATGAAGTCACCAGTATCCTCTGCTTAGATTAGGGTATGCACAGTAGGCAGAGGCGCCAAGAGTCGCTGTGGACTGTCATTCGATTAGCGGCTTTTGTTGTTAATGAGATGCAAATGCGAATATGAATGCGAGCAACCGTCACAGCTTGAAACAGCGTCGACAGCGCCAGCAACAGACTCTTAAATCTGGCCCGGACCTGGATTTTCAAATCTGTTAAATTATGGAGGCAGGTGTTATCTTTTACTAAAGGAAGTTCTTAATCCAAAATTAATAAACATACAAAAAATTGCTATATTTTACGTATTACGTATACGCCTAGTGTGCACCGCTGTTAACAAAGTACCGCCTACCATTTTATAAAACTCTTAATTAACATTAGAGAATTATTAGTTATTTTACTACTACTAACTTATTAGATATCATTTGTCAGCTTACACCTGAATTTTAACAAAATATTGTTTTTGAAATTCCTTTATTTCGTTTTTAAAATGAACCTTCAAATTATTTGTTAAGGATTGTCAAATTTTTGGAGTTAAGTTATAAAAACTATTGTATATTTTTAAATCCTAAAAGTATACATCATAATATATAAAAATATTTTTTTTAGGATACAAAGTTTAAAATATATAGCATAATTATAATTTTGATATTGATGCAGTGTAAAATCAAAAAAGCCCTTTTTTCTCTCATCTAGATGAGATTTATGATTATTTCATTTTTATACCCTTGCCAGAGGTATAATTTTGATGCAAAGTGTGCAACGCAGTGAAGAAGACTTCTCTGGTCCTATACAGTATATATATTCTTGATCAGGATCACCACCTGAGTTGAAATAAGCATGTCCGTGCTTCTGTCTGTCTGTTTCTATCACGAAAAATGGATAACAAATTTAAATAATATTGTGTCTCAGGATTTTGATGCAGAATGGTGGAGAATCGATCTATAAATCGTTTAAAGGTACTCCGCTTGGGAATCAAAAGGGAATTGGGGTAGATATAGCCAACACAGTGGAACCGATGGGGAAACCCTATTTTCTAGTGATCCCATCAGGAAAAATTTAAAAAAAATCCAAAAAATATTTTGTGTTAGTATTTTGATGCAGAATGATGGGAAATCGTTCTAGAAATCGTTTAAGGTACTCCGTTTGAGAATTGGAAACTGGCAGTTCCTACAGATTCTATTTGGGGCGATATGATCCGACCTTCCAAATTTCATAAGAAACGGAAGACTATATCCTATAGCTGCCATACATATAACTCAACAATCAGAAAAAGTATTAGGTATTTGGTAAAAATACCAACTTTAGTGTTTTTGAAGATAGAAGCTTGGATTTTTTTTTTAATTTTGTATTCTAATAAGGATTGGCCTACTATATGCGATAAATACCTGATATTAACCGCAGGGTATATCAACTTCGGCTCTGCCCGAAGTTAGCCTTTATTTCTTGTTTACCATAATTTTTAAAATTCCGCAACTTTAACTTCTTCATTTATTTTAACTCTTCAATAAATTTTTTTTCAAACTGTAATAAAGCTTTTAATAGGGACTCCAAGTAACGGACTTAACAATTTAACCGACGACGGACTTCAAAAATCCAGCGCGGCTGCCACCGAAGCCAGAGGAACGCTGGGCAGGCTCAACGTACTGAGGGTGAGTGCGGATGTACTCCAGGGACTTCAGGATGGCAGCTGGGATTGGTGGGGGGGTGGGCACCCAGTTTCCAGAGGGCTGGTAACCGTTCTCATCAGCCAGATACGAGATCTGGACGAGCTCACCCTCGGGAGAGTACCAGGAGAAGCCACCGGTGGCGTGGTTTCCACCGATTCCGGACTCCTGGGCGGCGATGCCGTTGCTAGTCTCATAGTTGTACTGGTAGCTGCCCTCGGGCGTGATGTCAGCGGCGCTCTTGACCACATAGGCTCCAGCATCCTGGTTGTAGGGAGAGGCGGCGAAGGCGCAGGCCAACACGGCGGAGGCGATGAGCATCTAAAAATGCACCAAACATGATATAAATTAATTTTTTAGTTCCATTAGTTTGTCCGTTGTTTAAAGCATCGTTAATTTAAGCTTTAAATGGTTATTCCTTGATTGGAGATGCCTTCAACTTACGTAGCGGAACATCTTTGGCAGATTAGAGCTTGTCTTCGAATAAGAGACGACTCGGAATGATGACTCTGTGGCGGATTGCACATGTTTTTATACGAATTCTCGACGTCAAAGCCGATCCACCCAAACAACTTTTACGCCCGACTGCAGGAAACTCATCTGAATAACAATAAAACCAGCCAAAATTGGCCAAACTAGAGTGCCATGAGCGGCTTAAGAGGCACGCACCGGCTTCGGGTTTGGCTCTAACTCAAGCTCTTCGTATTTAGTCACTTCAGCTAGGCACACGCATACATTAGCGGAGAAAATAATAAAAATTATAGAACTATTTAGACAATAGTAAGTTTTAATAAATACCACATAAAAGAGTTATGGCTTTACTTATTTACCTCTCATTGCATTCTTTATTTAGACCAAGTTTAAAAACTATATGAACAGATACAAAATATGACAAGTTATGTTGTTTTAGGAATTATTAATAATTGAGGTTTTATTATTAAGATCGCAGGCTTTTTATGACTAGGAACTTCTACACATATTTTTAGCTATGATAAATGATTAAAAAACGTACAAGCTAGAAACAAGATTTGTCAACTGCTTTTTTCCAAATCTTTTTTCATTTTTCATATTTTTTCCAAAGGCTTGTGTGGGTTTCAAAAAGAGCAAACGTCAAAATTATCGCCCCATGCGGTAATGTCAATGTCGAAGATAATGTAGCATGGTCTTTAGTAACTGAACAGAATTGGTGTTCCAATATTTGACCAATATGAATTATAGAAAATTATAGAATTCCGATTGTACTGTTCTATAGCAGCTATAGGATATAGTGGCCCATTCTTTAAAATTGTTTAGAACATATTGGTTGACCATATTTCATATTTCAAATCGAAACCCCTAAACTAAAACGTTTATAATTTCTAATCAATTCCATTTCCACTTTAGTGGTTTACCTTCTTTAGTAAGTCCGAATAACGTTTTATATATTCCAGAAGCAAGACTAGACTAAACTCCTATGTTTCTAATAAGTAACCATTAGAAAATAATGTATATTAAAACCTGAAATTCTTAAAGTTTTGATTTGTTTTTTCCATTTTTGGCTTATACTTGTAGCATAAAACGCATAAGCATAAAACAATAATTATCGTCTCATCTTCTTCGTTTATTTTAACTCTTCAATGTATTTGTTTACAAACTGTAATAAAGCTTTAAATAGGGACTCCAGCCAGCGGACTTAACAATTTAACCGGCGAACTTCTTCACAAATCCAGCGCGGCGGCTATCGAAGCCAGAGGAACGCTGGGCAGGCTCAACGTACTGAGGGTGAGTGCGGATGTACTCCAGGGACTTCAGGATGGCAGCTGGGATTGGTGGGGGAGTGGGAACCCAGTTTCCAGAGGGCTGGTAACCGTTCTCATCAGCCAGATACGAGATCTGGACGAGCTCACCCTCGGGAGAGTACCAGGAGAAGCCACCGGTGGCGTGGTTTCCACCGATTCCGGACTCCTGGGCGGCGATGCCGTTGCTAGTCTCGTAGTTGTACTGGTAGTTGCCCTGGGGCTGGATGTCAGCGGCGCTCTTGACCACATAGGCTCCAGCATCCTGGTTGTAAGTGGCGGCGGCGGAGGCGCAGGCCAACACGGCGGAGGCGATGAGCATCTAAAATTGCATTAAAAATAATTTAAATATAATTTTGTTAGAAAATTTCTTTATATCCTTTCAACTTACGAAACGGAACATCTTGGAGGAGTGAGCTTGTCTTTGACTGAGAGACGACTCGGAATGATGACTCTGTGGCGGATTGCAAATGTTTTTATACAAATTCTCGACGCCAAAGCCGATCCACCCAAACAACTTTTACGCCCGGCTGCAGGAAACTCATCTGAATAACAATAAAACCCGCCAAAGTTGGCCAAACTAGAGCGCCATGCGCGGCTTAAGAGCCACGCACCGGCTTGAAGCTCGGCACTAACTCCGGCTCTTAGTATTAAGTCACCTCATGCTGCGAGGCACACGCATACAATAGCGGATAAAATATTAACTATTTTAGCAGAAAAATTTTTTTGTTTCAAAAATAATACCATAGGAAAAAAGTTTCAAACTTTTACATTATGTTCCTTCTCTGGAATTTATGAAACAATTATACGATTAGGAACAATTATACGATTAAGGAATTAGAAAAGACTTCAGGTTTCAGGTAACCAGGCTATAAATCGGAACTGCTAAAATTTAATTTTAAATGAGAAATCTTTTATGGAGCTTGACCCATTTTAAGCTCCAATTACTTTGTTAAAACTTTCAATTTATGATTTAAAATCCTCTCAATAGATCTTATGTAGAAGCTGGAAAGGCTCTCTTAGCTAATTTTTTAACAGTATTTTATTTTTTATTATTGTTTTAACCTTAGGTGTACATGTGTGGGCTCCAGAAAGAGCAAAAGTTAAAAGCATCGCCCCATGCGGCAATGTCAATGTCGAAGCTTAGCCTAGGTCTGGTCTGCAGTCTCGGATCTGTGGTGTCTGGTTTCTGGTTTGAATTTCGGCACACCCAAAAAAGACAGTCTTAATTAAATGCATTTGAATCCAATGTATTCCGATACAATTTTAGCATAATTTATGGTTCCACACTGATCTGCCCAATCGTAACTTTTCCAGTTTAGTACCACGCCGACCCCTCGAAGCAACCTTATAAGGTTTATTTTTTATTTTTTTTGTAATCTATGCCTGCCTGTGAGGCGCTGAAATGTGTGCGTTTAACAAATTGGACCATAAAACTGAGTTAATACCTAAAGTGAGATATCAGAACAGGATTAACCCGTTGCCAGCAGCCTCGCCCCAGCCGCCTAAAACCGACAAAACGTCTCGTGTCACCTGCGGCACCTTTAATGCGATTTTTCAAATTTAATATTCTAGCACGGTGGGATGCCACCAGTTTTTTATCATCTATGAATAGGAAGCTCAATTTATATTCAAATCATTATAGATCGAATATCAAATATCATATCTTAATGGGTACTTTAAATTGGCATTCTTTTTATAATCAGATTAGATCAGAATTTTTGATTTTCGTAAAGAATTTTATACACTACTTTTTTAAAGGTTAGTACATTTTTAAAATATTAGATTTTCTTGTACACAGCATAAAGAAAAATCTGAAAAGATACTCTTGATAATAAAAATACAATTAAAAATTATATTAGGATCTGTCGCCTAAGGGTATTATACAAGCATTCTCGGCTCGTGTCATCTATGGTATTTTAAATTTTTTTTATAAAACTATAAGTGATAACGATCTTTATAAAAACCAAATAAAATTCTTCGAGTTGCTCTTGAAAATCTACTTTTATTACCCAATTTGTCCCACTGTGATGATAGTTTAAGTATTTATCAACTAAATAAATCAACTTGGGGGGTCTGGCCTTGAAAGAGATTCGATGAGAACACGACGATCGTAAAACAAAACTTTATGACACCCCCAGAAAGTGAAATTATTGGCCGGCTTAGTAGGAAATGTTAATTCGATTTGTGGGTTTCGATAACGTGGTAACATGTCAAAGCTGTTCAAAAGATTTATTGATTTCTTGACCAAAAGCTGGTCATGATTTCTGAGAACCGCTTGAACATGGCCTATGTATTTAGCACCCTTTTCGTTGCTGTCGTCACTAGTCGTCGGGGCATCCCCTGAAACATATTCCCATAATTATGCAAAACGCAGATCTACGATTATGGTTATTAATTTAATGCTACTAATTAATACCATTTTATTGGAAGGCTACCTTAAAAAGTGCGGCTTACGAGTGATTGGGCTTTTATGTAGCAGATTTTTTATGGGCACTCAACGTCAACCTTGGCAATTTGACGAAATTGGGAATAAATTTAAATAAATTAGACAACACTTTCCGAAAACTGTAAGTTTCCAATTTAGTAATATATCCTCCAAAAAAGGGGCAGACTTTATGACATGAAGAATGTATTAATATGGGTTTTTAAAAAGGGTAAGTCCTAGTTCGATGTCACCAAAATAAGACATTTGATTCATGTGAGTGACTACTTAATAGCGATTATCTTTTGTATTCGCCTCGGCATTCAAAAAGATGCATCTACCGATCAGTCAGCAACCGCATTCAACTTTAATAAACTAGTTTTCAAATAATATAATATTTAGCCAAACCGCGTCAATGGTTTCCATAATTCACACCGATTTGCTGGGTCGAATGCGTATAATCCGCGGTTTAAGTTTATGCAGATGAGGGCGTCGATATTGGTGCAAGTTTTGTCAGCCAAAAACGAGACGAATATATAATTTATTTTTCCCAAGCCAATCCTAAAATAAACAGTATCGAATTCATAATCAGAAATTGATACATTTGGAAAGAGACGATAGGCGTGTTGATACTCTTTTTTAATTGGGATGCTATATATTTAATGGAAATATTTGATAAGAATTATAGAAATGATAAACTTGCATCATTTTATGCATCAAATTATAATTGGTTTTATTATCCATCTCGAGATATCAAATTTTTATAACAAAAATTTATTCAAATTTATTCATTTAAAATAAAACCATAACCCAAAATCGAAATGCTTTAAATGGTTGGCATTTGTCCAAACAATGAATACGTCGTCTAGTAGGGAATCAAATTAAATGCAAATTAATTGGTCTGAAATCATACGCATATTAATTTCCCTGAAACTGATACATTTCAGTTCAGATGCCAAATATGTCGCATTGACTTTTAACATTATCCCGTGGCTAACCTGTTGGCCTTCCGGGAAGTGCCAAACTGTCATAAAATTGGTAAAACAAATGACTTTATGGTCCTATAAGCAAATTGTTATATTAATTATTATTTAAGTTAGCGTTTTATTTATTGTCACTGATGAGGGTATTGAATATAAATTTAGAATATACACCAAATAAAAACCATCAAAATTTTTAGAAGTTACACAATAAGAAGAAAGTATCGCCAAGAAAACTTGGACTTTTTTTATTACTTGTGAGATAATAATTCTTTAAAATAATAATATATACAATTCCAAGCAACATACAATACAATTATAACAATATATAATTTTCTTATAAGTAACCTTTTGTTTTTTTAGTTTTTAAACCATTTTTTTGCCATGTGATTTCTTTTTAAGAAATTTTACTACATTTTATTACCTTTAAAAATTTAAATTTTTTCGCGCCTTTTTATTTATAGCACTTGCTATAAATATTTGTAGCTGGCCACACCGAATTTTCGCTACAACCAGTCGAATCAGTCGAATTTCTGTGATTTAGATAGTATCTAACTATAATTTCAAAAATTAACCTAATGTTAAATATTTGTTTCTCTTTTTTAAGCTGTCTGTATATAATTTAAAATCTATCCAAAAGTTTTTAGTAATATAGAACCCCTTTTTAAAATTGCGATTGTGAGATAGCCTTTAAAAAAGATACTTTATTTTGATTTATAAAATCTTTTACCACTACGACATGCATTTTTCTGAACATATTTAAAATGTACAAAAAGAAACGCAAGAAATATTCATTATTATTTTTGAAACCGCGATAAAAACTTATCAAGTCTAGGCAACGCTTATCGATATATTGTTATATTATCAACAACCCTAGGAAACAGGCGACGATAAAATTGAGGATTTGAAATAACTAAATTTAAGAGCGCAATACACAGGATGCTGGCCCACAGGATGCAGCTTTTGAGGACGGCGAACAGCGCCGCTGCCCTCAACTCCGCCGCCAGTCGCCTGGCCACACAGGTGAGTCGCAGTCCGGACCCTGTGACATAACCTGCAATCTCTCGAGGAATTGGAGTCGCTGATCAATGAAAACTTCTACTTTCAGAACTCTTCGAGCAACCGGAGGGAGCTTCACTTGCAAAGGCTCGTCGGAAGATGTGATCTGCCACTAATCACCCCCAAGCTCGCTTGGAATCCTCAACAGATTCGGTTCGCTAGTGGGGGAGTGACGATTTCTGCCGGCGCTGCTTCTGGTGCAAGCGGAACGGGGGGCGCAGATTACTTGGAAGCGGTACCCACAACACAGCTTGTGGATCTGCCTGATATACCCGCTGCGCCCATTCCCCCCTCCTCTCTGGGCATGGACGCTGCTGAATTGGTCAACGTGGTTAACGCGGCGGGAGAGCCAACCTTCGCCTCCATCGGATTGGGCGGCTGGTCGCCTGTGGGCATTGTGCAGAATTGTATGGAGTTCCTACACTGCACCTGGGATTTGCCCTGGTGGGGAGCCATCGCAATTGGAACCCTGGTGGTTCGTACCATTATTTTCCCTCTGGTTATTTTGGCGCAGAGGAACTCGGCCAAGATGAACAACAACATGCCACAGATGCAGTTGCTTCAGCTTAAGATGACAGAAGCTAGGCAGTCGGGCAATGCCATTGAATCCGCCCGATATGCCCAGGAGATGATGCTGTTCATGAGGGAGAAAGGCGTCAACCCGCTGAAGAACATGGTGGTCCCGCTGGCACAGGCTCCACTTTTCATCAGTTTCTTCATGGGCCTGCGACAAATGGCCAATACTCCCGTGGATTCCATGCGCGACGGAGGACTGTTTTGGTTCCAGGATCTTACGATGGCGGATCCCTTTTACCTACTGCCGCTGATAACAAGTGCCACCTTGTACCTGACCATTGAGATCGGCACGGATTCGGCTCGTCTATCGGCCGCTAACATGAACACCATGAAGTATGTGCTGCGTGCACTGCCCATTGTGATCTTTCCCTTCACCATGAACTTTCCGGCGGCAATTCTTACATACTGGGCATGCAGCAATTTTATTTCATTAGGCCAGGTAGCCCTGCTGCGGATCCCTTCAGTTCGTGACTACTTCAAGATCGAGAAGATGCTGACACATGCGCCCAGTGCATTGCCACCAAAGAAGGGATTTGTCGGAGGAATGAAGGAGTGTAAGTAGACGATAATTAACTAAGAAAATCCAAATTTAAAGCCTTTTCTCCTATTTTTTTTAGCCTGGGATAACATGAAGATCTCAAAGGAAATCGAGGAACGACAGAGGCTGGATGAGATCCGATTCGCCAAGGCTGGCAAGGGACCGCTCGTCAAGACGTTCAAATACGACCCAACCAAAACAGCGAAGCCCATCAATATCGACCCACACATGCGGTTAAAGGAGCCGCCAAATAAACAGGGATAGTTGATTGTTTCTCCCACCTGTTCCAGGACTCGAGCGCTGTGTCTTGTTACGTTTAACTTAACCATTTAGATGATAGTTTCACCTCCACCAAACTCCAAAAATTTGCGACTAAAATATAAAAAGTTGTATCCCTATGACAGCGATTTTAAAGCTGCGACAAAAAAAAAACTGATTTAAACGAAACTAAAAACAGGAGTTCCATTTTAATTTCGAAGATTATTGGGGAAAGGTGTAAAAGTTACGTGATAAGCAATAAATTGGTCGGTAAAGTGAAACTATATAATCTTTACGGAAGTTGTTGATTGGTATTACCTAGTTATTTCCTTATTCATTCTTACAGCAGGTCTATAAAATAAATTTTGTTAATACATCTAATCGTAATGATCATAAAGAATATAGAAAAGCAATCATACTGACGACGTACGACTTTTTTTAAAGATAGGATGATATAAGAGTAACATTCTTAGATAATTTTAAAAGCTGCATCTATTTAAAACTCTACAAAATCAAAGTTATTATTACTAAAATAACGTGAGAAACATTAAACTTGACAACTAAAATTCAACCCCGGGCGGAGATGCATTGGTTTATCACCTCGGCGAGGTGCTTGTTTTCCAAGGCTGCAGCCACTCGTTCCTTGTCCGCCAGTTGCTTATTCACGGCCTGTTCGGAAGCGTGCGTGCCGGGTGTGATCTCTACGGTAACCTTGAAGCGCGTCGGTAGTGAGCGGAGCAACTTAACCCGAATGGACAAGCCAATTAGGGTGGCCATCGAACAGTGTGGAATAGTGGGCGTAAAATTAATATGAACGGAATTCTGTCCATCGCTGATGCGGATTAGGTTCTCCTGGACGACATGCAGCTCTTCAAGGGTCAGTGGGTGCTCTGGGTCATTAATATTTCGGATAAGGTCTAAAATTATATGCGTGATATCGAGTGTTTCCAAATGAATTTCATGGACTTGCCAAAAATCTCTCGTTTATCGAAGGGATCTGCTACGTTTTCATCTTCTTCATTGGCTGTAATCTGCCTCTCCTTGATTTTATCATAAACATTGGGGTTTATATTCTCTATTTCGGTGAGCATTTTAGATTATTTAACCGTTTTTCGCGGAATAAGCTGGAAAACAAACGTAAATAGGAGACTGTGTGTCCACACTAGGGAAAATAAAAATACCTAAATGGCGTTACTTTTGTAAAAGAGTGTGTAAACACTTTCGAGGCGGGAAAATACCTTGCATTTGAATTCTCTTTACTACAGTGTAATACATTTTCATTCTAGAAGGGCTTAGATTAGTTAATTCCATTTTAATTTAATTCAAAACAATTAAAGCCTAGAGCCATCACATTAACGCTATTAAAGTGAAGTACAGTTCCTGAAAACTGCCAACCAATTGACATGTTCGCCCCTACTTGTCAGCTTACGTAAAGGGCGCAATTATAAACGCCCCGCTATCCATATTTATGTGGTCTGTGAATTAGCTACCCCAATGTTTAGACACTTAAGTCAAGTTAAAATATCGCCCACCCCTCCCCCGGCGATCATCCGCATTTTTGCAACTTTGTGCTAAATAAACGGCAGATGCGGTGAGTCCGTCCATGGACTAGCTGACCGACTACGCCTTGAGCCCATTTTGCTGTCCAGTCTCGATTTTATTTTATTAGATTTCATTCGAATTTTTTTTGTATTTTTGAGTAGCCGGCGAACTTGGCGGTGATTTCCTCGGGTTGTAATTAGTCAGACTTATCAATACATGAGATGATATTTACATAGCGAACGGGTTTCGCGCACTTGCCGTGCATCTAGCAGCTAGGGGCAATTAGCACTGAATTACAAACTGGTCAGCACTACGAGCAAGCCCCGCGGAGAAGCCTCCAATAAAATGGGCTAGCCACCGAGGTGGGAGCAGCAGTTTGGGCGAAATTTCCAAGCGGTTAACATCTCTAGTGGATAATGAAGTCGGCAGTAAGTTTTGATTTCTTTGATAAACGGAAAACTCCGGAACAATGGGTGTTACAAAGTTGCAATCTATAAAAAGTTTCAAATCATTATTGCGATTATTTAAAGAAATTAAAAAGATAATTTGTGAGAGAAAACAGAATTAATGTTAAATAATATAAATGTGATTTTCAAGAACAACTAAAACCTTATTTTTATGAATTTTAGATTGTTTTCCTGGCTTTGGTGGCTATCTGCCACTCGGCTCCCCTGACCCCCATCGAAGAGTCTCCCGTGGGTCTCTCCCGTCCCAGTCCCATCAGTCCAGACGTGATCAGTGATCCGAAGCCAGAGGAGAAGGTCGTTTTGCTAAAGGATGTACCAAAGGATGGTAATCGCCAAAAGCGAGATGAGCACCAGAAACCGGATAGTGTGAAGGCTCAGGAACAGCTTCACCACCATTCGAGCGAGGAGCCCCTCCAGAAGCCAGATAGTGTCAAGGCCAGTGAGGGACTCATCAAGCACAAGCGGGATACCAAGGAGCACCAGAAACCGGACAGTGTCAAGGCTCGGGAACAGCTTCACCACCATTCCAGCGAGGAGCCCCAACAGAAGCCGGATAGTGTTAAGGCCAATGAGGGACTAATCAAGCAGAAGCGGGATATCAAGGAATCAGAGAAGCCGGATAGTGTCAAGGCCCAGGAACAGCTTCACCATCATTCCAGCGAGGAGCCCCTCCAGAAGCCGGATAGCGTTAAGGCCAATGAGGGACTAATCAAGCAGAAGCGAGATACCAAGGAATCTGAGAAGCCGGATAGTGTCAAGGCTCAGGAACAGCTTCACCACCATTCCAGCGAGGAGCCCCATGAGAAGCCAGATAGTGTCAAGGCCAGTGAGGGACTCATAAAGCACAAGCGAGATACCAAGGAGGAAGACAAGAAGGAGACTCCTGTGACTTTGATCGGCGAGCTGCCCAAAGGTGAAGTTCCTCAATCTGCTCCTGCTGTAGCCCCTCCCAAGAAGGACAAGAGAGAAGCTCACCACGAGGAGGGACACAATGAGAAGGCCGGAGTAGTGGTCGAAAATAAGGAAAAGAAGGACTCCCAGGAGGGAAAGGACGAGCCCCAGCGTCTGCCCTACAACGCTCCCGGCTTAGTTGCCTCCCCAAAAAAGGAGAAACGTGATACCATCGAGAAACCGGATAGTGTTAAAGCCCGTGAAGGACTGCAGCACAATCCCCAACGTGCTGAGGAAAATCGCAAGGCTTTGGAGTCCCTACTCGCGGGTACTCCGAAGCCCGAAGAGCGTCGCCAGCGCGACATTCCTGTTCCCACTGAGGTGAAATCCACTCCGGCGGAGCCCAAGTCAGATAGCACCACGCCCCCTGCCTCGCACCGACCCACAGCCAAGCCAGTGTCCGAATTGTTCCACAAGGATGCGGCCATCCACAAGCCTGCAGATGCTGACAAGGTCGAGGAATGAGGGGAGGGCCAAGACCTAATCTCCGCATTCGGAGACGTTAATTGGACCGTCACGTACTTTAAGTCATCGAAAATAAAAAACAAATAAACTACAAAATGTTTACACGCTTACAAAACTGATTTTGTTAATAATAATAATATTTTATATAAATAAGGGAGAGTTATGGTTAGGTGTCTATTGGAGAAAGTGATTTAACAGAGAGCTAAAAGTTTTTCTGACAGATGATCTTAACAGATGTTTTTATACTCTTTCAGAGGGTATTAAGGCACTCCACTTGTGAATCGGATGAGAATTGGGGAAGATATAGACATCACAGTGGACCCTATAGGGGAAAACCCCATTTTCAAGGGATCCCATCACGAAAAATGGACAAAAAATCGAAAAAATATTTCGTCTCAGGATGTTGATGTAGAATGGTGGCGAATCGATCTAGAAATCGTTTAAGGTACTTTGCTTGTGAATCGGATGAGAATTGGGAAAGATATAGCCATCGCAGTGGACACTTCAAGGGATCCCATCACGAAAAATGAACAAAAAATATTTTGTCTCAGGATTTTGATGCAGAATGTTCAGAATTAAAGCTGCAGAATAGGCTTTAATTTCTTGTTAAGAAATTGTTAAGAAACTTAAAATTCTGGAAAGTTAAAAAAAGTCTGGTTTATACATGTAATTATTTATGCTAATCACCTGACATGCACCTTATATTTTTCGTTGGCTTTAAGTCTTAAAGTTTAAGCTAATATTTATTGGCGCCTATAAAAAAAGATATAACAAATTAAATATACTCGCTTACTTTTTTTTAATAGAAAAAAACGAAAGTAGGATTTTCCCAAGCAAACAAACTGGAGCGATTTTACAACTTGCGAATCGTAAAAAATGCATTTACAAGTTTACGTGACAATTTATCTGCTAATTAGTAAAAAAATATTTATAGACCTGAGCTGGCTGACAATTATGGGATAATTGTTAATAAGACATCGAAAATAATTTAAAATTAAAACAGAACTTTTGCAAGATTTATAGTTTGTTTTGTTAAAAAATTTTTTTCAAATGTACACCAACATATTTTTATTATTTCTAAAGAAAAGATGCTATTTTTTTTTTAATTTTTAAGGCCATCCTCAGGAAAATCCCCGCTTTAATATAGAAATATATCCGAAACTCAATAGAAATTTACGTAGGGAGTACACCCAAGGCCAAAGTAAATTGCTGTTTTTATAAAAACCCATAAAAAATAATGCATATTCAACAGGCGCCAGCGTCAATAAATCAGTCTCTTTAACTGGCAATAGATTGGATAGGTATCCCAAGATTATTAGCTGTGAGCTCAGCCATTACAGGTAAATTATTACAAAAGTCTCAAATGAATTTTAAAAGCTTTTTAAGTTTAATAAACTATTTTAATATATCCATATAGATTCTAGACTATCATACCCCTTTATATTAAACAAAAAAAACCTATCTTGTTATTCTAATTGTCCTGAAAGTATCATCTCTGCCGGGGTTTCCTCTTCCACCTTGCCAAAATAATCATCCGATTTGTAGATTTGGAAAGGCTGGAACTTGCCCTCGACGAGGTTAGTTCTGGGTTGGCCGGAGGAACTGGATGAATCGCTGGCAGCTAGTTTTGCTTTTAAGGGCTTTATCAGTAAACCCTTGATGCTGTAATCCGTAACGTGAAGCTCCTCCTCGGAAATGTCCACAGCTCTTTCCACTTCTCCCAAGTTGGCACTGACACATCCCACAAACTGCTCCAAGCTGTCGATCCTTTTTCGCAGTTGGTCAAAATTGTCGCTAAATGCTAGGATACTGCAGACGTTATTAGCCATCATTCCATTGGACTCGGCACGCACCTAAAAGTCAGACAAATTTTAATAAAACTTTCTTTTTTTTAACTTATTTACCAACCGAAGCCAATAAAGTTTCAAATTCATCCAGTCTAGCCAACATATCGTCGATGTTCGTGCAGAGCGGGTTTATCTCCTTTTCCAGATCGGCGCTCTGTATGATTTTTGCATAGTCGTGAGCCACATTATTCATTTTTATAGACTTTATTTGTTATTAAATAAAATCAACAATTGTTTCAACAGATGGGACAATGTGTACAAACATTCCGAGGGAAATATTCCTGACGTTAGTATTTTATCGTTATCGCTAGCGCCAAGAGTGATTTCGTCACCTACGTGGTGATCGATAACTTATTTAATATTTAAAATTTGATCTGTAAAACATTATAAGTTAAATATTAAGAAAAAGTAGGAAATGCCAAATTAATATATTCTAATTACTATGCATTTAATTTTTTAAAATTGCATCTATAATTTAAATTTAAATTGTGTGACCTTTTGTGACAAGCTTTCTCATTTCCCTGACCCCGGCTATATGGTCACACTGAAGTCAGCCCGGACTGAAAACCTTTTTATTGATTTGTGTCGGAAATTAAAGGATAACTTGGATTAGGAGCACCATGAGCGGCTATCGAGGCATCGGTGGCGGCGGGTTTCCCTACCGAAAGACCGCCACATCTGGATCCAACATGAATGCAGTTCCACCACCGCCGACGCTTAATTCCCGGGGCTACCGCGGAGGAGTGACTCCTTCCACTGCCCGGGGCGGCGGAACGGCGGGAAGCACCACATCCAAGCACGGATATACCACGCTGGACTCCATAAGTCAATATACAAACTCCACGAACTTTGTGGGAAAGAGGAAACAACACTCAGAGGACGATTACTTCGACGACGACGACGAACCCGCTCATAAGGAGCTGGAACAGGCCTACATACCAGCGCCTGGGTCCCCGGGAGCCCCACCACCACAAGCTAACAAGAAGGATGAGTCTGATTCCGATGAGGACCCATTGGAGCAATTCATGGCCGGCATAAACCAGCAAGTGGAGAAGGAGAAGCGCCAAAACCATCCGAAGGTCCAGGAGAAAGCAGTGCGTCATGACATAGACGACGAGGACGATGAGGAAAGCTACTACCGCTACATGGAGGAGAATCCCAATGCGGGATTGCGGGACGAGGGCTCAGATCAGGAGGTGGAGTACGACGAGGATGGAAATCCGATAGCTCCGCCCAAAAAGAAAGACATTGATCCTTTGCCGCCAATCTATCATTCTGAAATTGAATACGATTCCTTCGAGAAGAATTTCTACACGGAACACGAGGACATTGCGGCTTTGGACGAAGAGAAGGTCAGGGACCTGCGGCGGACATTGGGTGTAAAGGTCACTGGGCCCTCGCCACCCAAGCCGGTGACTTCGTTTGGTCACTTTGGCTTTGATGAGCCCCTCTTGAAGGCCGTGAGAAAGGCGGAGTACACTCAACCCACTCCCATTCAGGCCCAGGCTGTACCCACCGCGTTATCCGGCAGGGATATAATTGGCATAGCCAAGACGGGCTCTGGAAAAACGGCAGCTTTCATTTGGCCCTTGCTCATGCATTTAATGGACCAAAAGGAGCTCCAGCCAGGCGACGGACCAATTGGCCTCATCTTGGCCCCCACTCGTGAACTCTCGCTGCAAATCTACAACGAAGCCAAAAAGTTCGGCAAGGTCTACAACCTGAACGTGGTCTGCTGCTACGGAGGCGGCTCCAAGTGGGAGCAAAGCAAAGCCCTCGAGCAGGGAGCCGAAATTGTGGTGGCCACGCCGGGCCGAATGATAGACATGGTCAAGATGAAGGCAACCAACTTGAAGAGGGTAACGTTTTTGGTTCTCGACGAAGCCGATCGGATGTTCCACATGGGCTTCGAGCCCCAGGTGCGCTCCATTTGCAACCACGTCCGCCCCGACCGACAAACCCTCCTGTTCTCCGCCACCTTCAAGAAACGGATTGAACGCCTTGCCAGAGATGTTCTCACCGATCCGGTGCGAATCGTCCAGGGAGATCTAAACGAAGCCAACCAGGACATCACCCAGTCCGTTTTCGTTTTCCCTAATCCTCTGCAGAAGTGGAACTGGCTGCTGTGCCACCTGGTCAAGTTCCTTTCCGAGGGAAGTGTCCTGATCTTCGTGACCAAAAAGGCGGATGCCGAAACAGTGGCCAATAACTTGCTGGTGAAGGAGTACAACTGCCTACTGCTCCATGGCGACATGGACCAGGCGGATAGGAACAAAGTCATCACACAATTCAAGAAGAAGGAGTGCGACATTCTGGTGGCCACCGATGTCGCAGCCAGAGGTCTGGACATACCCCACATCAGAAATGTTGTAAACTACGATATCGCCAGGGATATTGATACGCACACCCATCGAATTGGAAGAACGGGAAGAGCTGGGGAGAAGGGCAATGCCTTCACCCTGGTCACCGACAAGGACAAGGAGTTCGCTGGTCATCTGGTGCGGAATCTGGAGGGAGCGGACCAACAGGTGCCGGAGGATCTAATGGAGTTGGCCATGAAGAGCTCCTGGTTCCGTAGTTCTCGATTCAAGCAGGGCAAAGGCAGAAAGCCGGCGAATACCTACACCGGCTTGGGATATCGGGAACGTGGAAACGGACCTAGACCAGAATCAGGATCCGGATCAAGCGGACCAAGTACTGCCAGCGCTGCAGGAGGAGAAGGCCCTTCCAGTAAGCCCAGTTCGGGCTCAGGACCAGCCACAGATCGGTACGCGGCCATGAGGGAGGCGTTCAGGTCGCAGTACAACTCCCAGTTTCGAGCGTCCAGCGATCGCACATGGGAGAAGACTTTGCCCGAACAAGGGGTATTCGCCGCGCCCAAGGCACCATCATCAACAGGCTCCTCCCAGGGGGCTGCCTCCGCCACGTCCGGTTCGTCTGGAAGCCAAGACTCAAAAAGGGCCAAAAAAAGCCGCTGGAATTAAACAGATACATATTTTGAAGAAAACTAACGATTATATTTTTATTTCTCGTTCATATTATTTAATGTGTATTTGCTTTTGTTCCATCATTTAAAATTACATCTTATGAACTAAATTTAAACATATATATATATATATTTTTATATATATAATCAGATATATACGATGTTCATTCATAAATGTTACGTTAGTTAAATACTCGTATGTACAATTCTCTTCCTCCGCAGCCAGATTCGGATCCGAACTCAAGATCCGATCGATCGATCCAAATCCCACTGATCCAAATAAAAATCATCTAATCTGTAATCTTGGTTATGTGTATTTTATTTTGAATAAAATCACATTTGCGCATCCATATCCATACTTTTTGTCAATCCGATCCATCCGATCATCGTTAATAGTTGTCGTTTGTAAGCGAGAGAAGAATTCGAATTTCGAACAAGAAATCGAAATCTTGAAGCTAAACTGTTCGTTAATCTTTATGAAATATTGTTTTACAATGAAACCACTACGAATTTTGTTTTCTTTTTCGCTTAATTTTTGGATATAAGTGTTTTGGTTTTTTTTTATATAATAATTGAATTACGTGTGTTCTTGATAACATTGAGAAGAGATAGAGATTCATTTAACTACCACATCGAGGCGATTTTGCGTAAATTTTCTGGATTTTATTTTTTTTTTTTTTTGCATTTTTATTTTGTATATTTTTGTAAAGCGCTGAATTTTGGAATTAGCCTGGACAAAGCTTAAAAATTTCGCTATATTTGAATATCATATCCGATACGTACATATATATATTTATTCCGTTATATATAGTTCTCGCATATAATCTACTCAAAGAATCGTCGTCGGTGTGTGGGTGTTTATATATATATATTTGTTGTATATAAAAATTGGTCCATGTTAACCACATCGTACGAAACATATAGAAGAGGAACTCAAAATTCAAAACTGAATGAGAAATCGGGGAAGAAAATCTTGTGGGGGTGATTTTCGAAAAAAAATGTGTGAAATAAAAGAAAAACATAACACTGGAATCGGTTTAGTTTTGAAATACTTTTTGTTTTGTTTTCATTTATTATTATCATTATTTATATATGTATTAATTAGCTTTGTGTGCGTTGTGGGGAGGGGGTTGGTGGTGTGTTCTTGTTTGTTTTTGTTTTTGCCGCATATATAACATACATATCCATATATACAATATATTTTAGATCTAGCATTAAATTTGATTTACACTTTTAATAGTTTGTTGCTTCTCCGCCCTACAATTGCTCCTCTAATTATGCTTTTATTTTTGTTGTTTTTTGTTTTTGTTTTGTCACTTAATTTAAACATTAATGTTCTGTTCGTTAAAGTTAATAATTCTTAATATTTTGCCCCGCTGCTTGGCTGGTTCAGTGTTAAGTTTCGTTTATCATTTTACCAAGCTAAATCAATTTGTATTATTTAATATGTAGATAGGCTTTAAAAAATAATTAAAATTATGCAACAATTAAAATGTAAATGTTTTCATTTTATAAATGTAGTAAAATTGTTGGGATTTCACTTGTATTTTATGTTTCTCGTTTTTCTTTTTACCATTTTTGTTTTTCTTTGCTCATGCTTTTCTTAATTTTCTCTTTTTAAATTTTACAATTAATTTTTTTCGAAAACTTTTCTTTAATACTTTTTTTTTTTTGAAAATCGGGATGATGTAACGGCAAACAAAAATGTAAGTTTAAAATTAACGAACAAAAAGGACTTTCTGCTGCTTCGGAAATTACACATTTAAATTCGTAAATTTCATTAAAGGAATTTTTCATGCTCTCAACTGAATATATTTTTTCAATTTTTTTCGTTTAAATATTTTCTTTATATAATGTATAATGACTGTTAAATTTTTTTACGCTTTTTGTGTGTTTATGATTTTTTTTCGTTTTTTGTGGGCTTTCTTTCTTTAGTTAGCTTTAAATTAAATGCCAATTAATTTAATTAATTAATTTTTAAATCACATTTCATTGTTTTTCAACACGGGCAAATTCAAATTTCCGCTTCGATTTATTTTTCTGTGTTGTAATAGTTTTCATTTCATTTCATATTTAAATTTTAAATTGTGTTACTGTTGGTTTGTGTGAGGAAACGAAACTGTTGGTTGCGCCACTGGCTTCTAGTGCACATTTCATTAAAATTAATAATACTATGTACAATTTATGGTATTTCGGCCAAAATCAATTATCCAACTCTCTGCCCATAACTGGCTTAGTCGAATAACGTGGCCAGCAAGTCGTCGCTGGCGTTGTTGTTGCTGCTGCCACTCGAGGGCGGAGTGTTGAGGTCGGGCTGTGGATCCAGGTACGAAAGGATTTCCATAGGATCCACATCCTGTAGAAGCTATAAATATTAAATATTTATTAGCAATTTTATTTTTAAGAATTATTTCTTTAAAACTTACATTCAAATCGTGCGCTGTATCATTGATACTCGCTGCCGCAGCATCAAAGCTCTGCAGATCAGCACTCAGATCGCTTTCGGGGAACTTCATTTGGGTTTGGCTGCTCATCAGCGAGTTGAGGAGCTGCTCCTGGCTATCAGCTCCGCTCGACATGCCGCCCGATCCACCCATCCGGCTGGGCGTGCCCGGCGTCTGGGGGGAGTTGTGGCCGGTGCTGCTGCTGTTGTTGCCGTTGGTGGTGCCATTGGCATTGGGTGTACTAATGGGCTCATTGTGCGAGCTACTGACACTTGGAGGACCGCCGGGGGTCATCGGATGGCTGGCTGCCCCAGGAGTATGCGGGGTGTGTGGCATCTAAAATTTAGATTAATGAGTTAGAACCAACTTCTTTGCACTTCTTAAAGAAAAAGGAAACCCACCTGATCGCTCAGAGACTTCTCCATGGCATTTAGTTGATCCAAGGAGTTAACCCCCCCATCACTTCCAGTCAATCCTCCACTGCCGTCGCTGTGGTTGCCACTGAAGCCGTCATAGCTGCTGCGATTGCCACTAAAATGAGGAGGAAATAGTTAGTTTATGCCACAACATGGCCACCAAGAGAACACTTACTGCTGGTTGGGATTGCTGCCGTTTCCCATCATGTTGCCATTGGCAATGGAGTTCATGTCGTGCATGTTGTAGGGACTCATAGCCTGCGCATTGTCCCAGGTCGGGAGCTGCGTGGATCCCGGAGACATGACTTTGGCAATGTCGTCGCACAACTCCTGCTTGATGTTTGGCATTCCGGGGGTTCCGTTGCCGTTACTGCCAGTGCCGTTGCTGCTGACGGGATTGGGATTGTTGTTGTTGTTGCTGTTAGCGTTGCTGGGATTGGTAGGAACATTCGAGGGTGGCGGGGCATTTGGCATGCCACCGTTGTGCTGTAACGCCCGCCAGTTGGCCGACGAGTCGATGACCACCTCGTCCACGTCCGAGTTGCTCAAGGTGTTGAGTATGGCCCAGATGTACTGATCGATCTCCAGGGTGTCGGTAATGGCCGACTTGCTGCACTCGGGGCACCGCCACGAGCCCCGTTCACTGTTGATCATCAGATAGGCCTCCAGGTCGAAGCACTGGACGTGCTTGCACTCGTGTCCCCTGGCCGGGAGTCGGATTCGAGACTTGGTGATGGGGCACTTCAATGAGATCTTGGCGCACTGTTGCGACGCTTGGGCGGCATCGGCGCCACCGGGAGTCTGGCCCTCAACGCTGGGCAGGCTCAGGTTGCGCTTGATCTTTTGCACGCTGTGCTCCAATGGGAGCAGGTTCCGTTTGTGCAACGTCTGCAGCACCTGACGCACCGACGGTCGATGGACTAGCTGCAGCACGAACAGGTGTGACTGTAAAGGGAAATATTTTCATTAATTAACTATTCTAATTTGTAAGGATTTTTGTCAGTGTACTTACACAACAGCAGGAACTGGCTGTCAGCTGGAGGGTATTTCGTCCTGGCTGGCATACCGCCTTCAAGTAGAGGGGACGCAGGGCGGTGCTGTTCTTCTCTGACCGCTCGATGTTCAGGGGAGTGGCATTCGCGGAGACGGTGACTGTGTGGGGCCAGTTGGTATTCATTTGCCGGTCATCCTGGTGGAAGCACTTCAGCTGCAGCTCCAGATCGGTTCTAAAAAAATTAAAATAAAATATTAAAAATAAAATAAAATTATTTTTGAATGAAAATTAAAAATATTTTTTTTTTTTAATAATTTACCTGCACATCAGCGTGTTGTAGACATTCTGCTTGAGATGAAACACATGGTTGCTGACAGAAAGATTGTGCAAGAGGCGGAACGGAGCCAGGATGATGCCGTCGCGTACCGGGAATGTCAGTCTCATTTCTTCGCCTTAAAAAAAAGGATACATTTTATTATAACATTAGGATTTAAGGATTTATTTTATAAACTTACTGTTGTCCATGGGTGGCTTAATGTCCGGATTTGGGCTGACATACGGCACACTGCAGGCGGGTGTCAGGGGTGGCGTGGGATTGCCAGGAACTGGACTGTGCTGATAGTTTTGCTGGAAACTAAAGTAGAATCTTAGGTTAGTCCTGCCCCTCATGGAACATCTTTAAAAGACTACTCACCCTTGGTTCTGGTAGGGATTGCCGGTGGTGGACACGCCACCCGGACCCGCCGGGCACATGCCACCTCCCTGCTGCATACCGCCGCTCTGGCCGCTGCCCGGGTAGAACTGACCCTGGTGGGAGCCGGGTCCTCCGCTTCCGCCGTAGCCCACACCGGGCATACCACCGGCGCCACCGGAACCCTGGGGCATGAAGCGCTGCTGGCTCATGCAACCGGGTCCAGGACCCATACCGCCGGGACCCATGGGTCCCATAACGGGACCGCCGCTCGGACCCATTCCGTTGCTGGCGGACATGCGGCCATAGCTCCCGTTGCCAGCGCCCATGGGTCCGCCACGGCCGTAGCCGTTGCCTGCTCCGCCCGCCTGCATGGGCAGGGGAACTCCTCCGGCGCCGGGATGCATCTGCTGGTTGCCGTACATCTGGGCCTGTTGCTGCTGCATGGGGTTGTTGGGGTACATGCCTCCGACACCCACGCCTCCCACACCTCCCGCTCCGCCCGCCGCCGCCGCACGCTTCTGGGCCATGTGCATCTGGGGGTGGGGGTAGGGGGCCATGCGCCGCTGTTGCTGTTGCTGCGAGAGGGAGGGTGGCGCCTGCTGGGGGTAGCCGCCGTTGGCCATGCCCTGCATCTTGGCCATCGGGTTCATGCCGCCCATCTGCTGTTGCGCCGACTGCTGCTGCATGGGGTTCATGCCACCGCCCATGCCACTGCCTCCGCCTCCCATCGACATGTTCTGCATCTGGTTCATGGGCGTCATCTGGAATGGGGATAAAGGTCGTGATTAGGAGAGACTTTCACCAAGCTAAAGGTCAGCAATAAAATGCACTTTGCCCGCCCCCACAGATCTCGATTCGGAATGGCGACAATCACAGGCTGCAGTGTGTAATTTTAATTCAACAAAACTCCTCATTAGGCCGAATTATCATGAATCTCACTTCGTGGAAGGGCGTTTGGAGATTTCTATAGAAAATCGTTGACTTCCAGTGGCAACCAATTAATCGCAAAACCACTCAGTACTCCCCAATCATCTTCTGGACTGAGCTTGAGCCTGAGCCGATTACCGCCTGTCATCTGCGAAGCCGCAGACTTCTGTTTCGGTTGCGAATAGAAATGATTCGATAATGGGTCGGGGTTTTTTTGAAAGCAAAGTCTGTTTTGGATTGTCAACAGCTGGCCATATAAAAGTTGTGGCAGCCTGCCGTGAAATCACCATCCATTCCCCTAGAATACCCATTAGGGTATACTCACTTGATGATGCCTCTGGGGTCCGATGTTACCGCCTCCGCCGTAGCCCATGCCCATGCCCTGGCTTCCGTTGTAGCCACCTTGGCTGGAACCGCCGTTCATGTACTGGCCATTCATGTTGCCCATCATTCCGCTATTGGGACCGGGATGCATGCCGCCACCCATCTACAAACAAGGGGGATAACCCATTTATATTAATAAGTCATGGGAAAGTCTTAGTGGGAGAGTCCAAGTGCTTACCTGACTATAACCGCCCATGGCATCCATATTGGAGATGTGCTGTTGCTGCTGCTGTGGGTGGTGTTGCTGTTGCTGGTGGAGCTGTTGCTGTTGCTGCTGCTGGTTGGCAGCAATCATTCCGGGATAACTTTGTCCGTTGGAGTTGCTGAGACTGTTCAGCGAGGAGTTTGTCGAGTTTCCAACTCCTCCAAGGGACGTGAACTCAGAGTTTGGACCGAAGGTGTTGTTTAGGCTGCGCAGGCTGTCGCCGCCGCCAAGGTCATTGCCCAGCATAAAGTTACCAGCGCCACCTACCGATCGTTGTTGTGGCGTTTGCTGCTGCTGTTGTTGTTGCTGTTGCTGGTATGCCAAAAAATTTTCACGTTGATGTTGTTGCTGGTACTGGTGTTGCTGCTGTTGCTGATTGTAGTACTGCTGTTGTTGCAACTGATGCTGCTGCTGTTGTTGTTGCTGTTGCTGCTGGTCCAAGCCGGCTGTGCTGGCACCTGGCGGTGAGATTTGGCCCCCGGTGGCTGGCGCCCTTGAGGAGCCTGCCTGCTGGTTCATTTCATCATTTTTCCTGGAAAAGGTGGGACAATTTAGACACATCAAAGAATAGGTGAGGGGCTCAGGCCGAGCAGCTTTCCACTCTAGGAAGCTAGATTTCATCATGCATCCCCAAAATTGAGCAGAAGTCGACAAAAATAATGAATTTATCAGAAAGCGACAGGCAGCTAGTTGTTAGAATGGTTTGTGAAATAATATTACTGGAAATATTGATGATAAAAGTGATGTGACGAACGCGAAATAGCCCACTGGGTATTTCAGATTTTAAATTTTAATGTTTGGGAATTTTTATTTATTGTCCTTTCCTTATCTTTCAAAGAACTTAATCGTTTTTGGAATATTTTGTACTATTTCTGTCTTTGGGGCACTACCCAGAATCTATATATTTCGTTCCTCTTATCTCACAAGATGGTTAGTCACATCGGAGATGGAATGCTAATTCTGAATTGGTTTTAATTCGCCAGTGATTCGACCTCCATCGATGATGTCAGCCTATGGCAGCTTATGTTCGTGATTTTAGACCCGTAACCCTCTCCCCCCCTGAGGCAGTTCAAAACCAACCGCCCGACACCCCGTCTTCTCCCCACCACTGGCCCATATCTCCATCATCGTCATTGTCAACGTCATTCATTGTGTTGTTGCTGTTGCAGTTGCTGTGGCAATTGGAATTGCAATTGCATTTTGTTGCCCTGCTCCTCCATCTTGCTTGCACTTGTCCACCTACTACACAGCTGTCTCTTTCCCGCCCGATTTGCTGTGACATTTAAGCCCGAAAATGTCAAATGGGCTCAGGGCTTAGGCTTGTTGGCATCACCCTTTAGTGCCAGCTCTGCTCCTATCGAGCTTAGCCCAGGCATTGGAATTGTTTTGCGCATTCGTTGTGATGGCGCGACTTTTAAGGTAAAAATAATTAAGCATATTTGCCAGCCAGACAATAACAATATGAAGCATATGAGGCGCAAATTTCAAAACAAAAATCTTCAAAAGTCGAATTTAAAAATACTCTAAAAACTAAAAGAGAAAAATAACTCTGTTTGATATCCATTTGACAACGGTGCGTATGAGTAATATTTTTTATCTCTCCGACAACATGGCGTATACTTGATGGGAATCAATTGCCGACTTAAGAAAATGGAGCAATCGACTGAGAAAATGAATTCTATTTGAAAAAGAGTAGAATCCTAAGCTCGTAGATACCCAAAATATAGTCGCACATTAAAAATATAAAGTAACACGCTCACAATAATTGCGCATCTACAAAAGCGGCTCAACGCAAACACTGTGCCCCCCCAACACAAAAGCAAATAAAGTTGGAAACACAAAAATAAAAAAAAAAAATAAAAAAAAATATAAAAAAAAAATAAAATAAATACTGAAAAGAACAAAAAACGTAACAAAACGTAACAAAAGCAACAACAGCTGCAACAACGAGCGAAATGCAAATAAATGGCACACTAAGCGATTGGCTGATAATCGCATGACGAGAAGCCCGAGCCGGCAAAGTCTACAAAAGATCGCCACAGGAGAGTGGAGAGTGGAGAGGGAAGCCTGGCCACCGGAGAGAAGGGGGTGGCGCTGTGAACCTGTGATTGCCGCCTGACTGTGACGATAAATTAGCATCGAGAGCTCCTCTACTGCTGCTGGGGGGGCACTAGAGCGGGGTGGAGCGGTAAACAGAGCAAAGCGGGTCATTAGGTCGGCTTAGTGCTGGACAGGGACAGGTAGCCAAAGGTGGAAAGAGCGAGAGAGAACAACAGAATGTAAACACAGAGCCAACCAAGGGTACTCAGGCCACAACACAGTGGTGACTAGCTAAGAGAACTAGGTACTTAATATTAAAAATTAAAAAAATAATAACAATATTAAAAAAATCAATTTTGATTGAAAAGATATATAAAATCCTATATACATTTCCTTTAGAATGTTCTAGTGAGTATCTCAACAATTGAATAAGTACTGTTGTGCACTTGCGATCATATAATCATCTCATTATGTGACTTGCACTGGAAGAAATAACAAGTAAGAAGAGTAGGATCTCTTATGACGCCGCCCTGCTTTGTTTCAGTTATTCAGTTCGAGTTGTTGCCTTTTGTACTTTGATTAGATATAAATTTCTTCATTGATTAGATAAAAATAAAGCAAAACAGGTAACTCGCCCAGCTAGCCGACAAAAAAGAGAACAACTGACACTGAACATAGACATATACACTATATAGTATAGTACAGGAAGAGAGAGAGACCATGGGGTTTAGAACCACTAAAATTCAGTATCGAAGACCAGTAGATACACGTGCTCGAAGATATAGCTTCATATCGGAATCAGTGCACGATCTCTGTCCCTGTCTGTCTCCCTCTCCCTCTCTCATTTAGTTTGCTTGTGTAATTGTAAATTGTGCGCACTTTGATTCGCTGTGGTAATAAAAATCATTTCTCATTTGGCACACGAAATCATTTCCGTATTTCAACAGCCATGGGCGTTGTTAAAGGTATTTATCAGAGGGGAAACTATCCTTTTTCCTATAATTTTTTGTGGTATTTTGTTTTCTAACAATTTATTATTATTGTTCTTGGCCATCTTTTTTTTGGCTGCTGGCGTATGAATTATGGCTCAGACAGCAATGCGACAGTCGGGATGGGCAGGCCATGTCCTTTGGAGAGGACATGTCTGGGAAACTTTATTATGCTGCTGAAGTCGAACGAAAAAAAAATCAAACTCTTTCTATATATTCTCTTCTATTTTTTTTTTATTGTTATTGTTGTTTGCGTGTTTTATTATTTTCTGTTTTTTTTTTTGTAGACGACAGTTGGCGTCATGTAACAAAACAAGTAATATATACAAAAATACAGTGTGTGTGTGTGCTGTTTTTTAGAGGCCATGAAAAATTGTGAGACACGTGCGTGGAGCCAATGACAGAACGGAATGTTTCAAATAAGTTTTCCCATCCATCGATATGGGGGTCGGGGGCTTAAATCATATCCTGGAACCCTACAATATGTACATGTGTGTGGGTTTGGGTTTTACCCTACTTCTACTCCTGTTGGAAAAACCAATAACACATCAAAATGTTTGATTTGCTCTCGTTGCCATTTTTGTTTCCATTTATCCACAGTTCCATTTTTTGATTCATCATTCACTGGGCCCCACTCTGCGTCGGCCTCCGTTCGGTCATATTGTATCTCACCTCCCACCGCTGAAATGCGTTTGACAGTTGTTTTTCAAGGGTGTTTGGCTGAACCACCGCCCCGAACCGGCGCGCAACCACCCGCTACCACAACTGCTGGCTGCACTTTTCGCATATGGAAAACAATACAAAAAAAAAAATAAATAAAAAGGAGCAGGACATTTTTTTTCGTTCAATTTTGAGCCGGCAGTTGTCGTCTGTCTACCGACTGTGGAATCATTTTTTTTTCATATATCCCTGTGATGGGGCTGGTTTTTTGAAACGGGATGGTAATCATTTTCGGTCTTCGTTTAGTTTCAGTTTCAGGACTTTTTCGAAGGCGCCTGTTGGTATGCAACGCTTTTTGCCGCCTTGAACCAACTTCTCCCACTTCTCATTTTGATTGAATTTCCCGTCGAGTTTTCCTTAGCCGGTCGATCGTTTTCATAATTCATCTTCCCTGCCCTGCCCTACCCTACCCTATCCAGCTGAGTCTGTTGGAATCACATAAATTGCAATCTGAATGAAAATAAAAATAAATCAGCATAATAGACTCTTGAAAATACAGGCAAAACGAAGCAACCACCAGGAGCAGCTAACAACCAACCCTCCGCTCGAGTGGTTATCGGGGTGGGGGCGGTGTCGGTAGCCGGGCGAGATGGGGTGCATATAATAAAAAATCGAACTGTAAACAAAAAATGCAGAAAAAAACAAAAAAAAAAAAAATAAGGCGAAGAAAGAGCTGCAGCAACGCAAAAAAGCGAAGAGAAATCGCACAATTTTTGATTAAAAATCCAATGCAAATAATACAGATGGTCAGCAACCGAGCCAGAACGATGGCTATAGTATGGTATGGTGTGAGGGTCGAGGGTTGGGCAGAAACATATTCCACACACATCCCATCCCATCCCATCCCTGGCCATTCCATTTTTGACAAAATGTTTGCCTCCAACTTTGTGCTCGGTTTGCATTTTGCGGATTTGCAAATTCATTTTTATAAATGTTTTGCCGCTTGTGGTGGACACGGGAAATGGTCGTTGGGCGAAGGACGATGGCGGGTAGGGTGGCTGTCCTACATGTGGTATGAGCAATATTTGAAATATTCCACTCTTCCTACATGTGTATCTGTGGCAGATCGCATGTATGTATGTGTATTGCATGTTTTCAGCACCTGTAACTGGCTTTTATTTATTGTAGAGGCAGGGTGGCTGGCTCATCCCACGTTGCGTATACGCACTGTGCGCCGGCCCTAAAACATTTGTTATAGTTTGCAAACATCTATCCAGGGTTTCGTTTTGTGCCATTTACTAATTTGCATACTAAAATGTTGAATGGCCCGGACTTGGCCTGGCCAATGTGCAAATGGTAATTTTGTTGGGAGAACTAAAGGTTATTTTCGATCATTTTTGAAGAGTTAATGGAATGGAATTCCAGAGCTAGGAGCTAGAGTAAGAAGTACTATTATGGCAACTCCCGTGACTGACAGCACTCAGTGCATACCTGTAATATACAGGTGTCTCGATGCATTATTCAATTCCAAAATTGCATTTCGCTGTTGGCTGTTCTGTCTAGTAGTTTGTCCTTGTGGTGTTGTAACCAAAATCGTTTTGATGGCTGATGGTGTGTCGCCATCGAAGTCTGCTCGTGTTGGTGATAAAAAAAAACCTAAACAAAACAAAAAACTAAAAAAAAAATAAACAAATAGCTTGTGGTTGTTGTAACACACGCGCTAATCAGGCCGCTAATGGACGCCCTACCATCAGCCCCTTTTGCACCACCCAACCACCCATCGGCCGCCTTTCACCACCACCCCCTGTGATAATCAATCGGTGTGTTAGTATTTTTTTTGCACACCTTACGTAGGTAAGTTTTTCGGTGCGAATCTGGCGGTGTTTTAGGTTCGATTTGGTTGCGGGTCCGGGGTCTGGGGTCTGGTTTTGCTTTGCTTATCTTATCTATCGCGTTTTGGCTCAAAGTAAAATTTATGCCAGTCGGTGGTTGGGGATCTGTGTTCCATTGTCAGGCAGCGATGGTGGGGTTGCGTTTTTGGCATTTATCTAATCGCCAATTAAGTTAGAAAAAAACCCAACGAAAATCATAAACAATCGGACAGACATAAACATTAAAAATAAATCGAAGGCTGAGACTGTCAACGCTCGCGCTCGGCTGGCAAAACAAAAATAAGTTTACAAACTAAAGAAGCTGCAATAATTTTGTTCAAGTATCTTAACGCTCACATACACTCGGTTTCGGAGGGGGGAACATGCATAAATCACATTAAAAATAAAACAAAACAAAACAAAAATTGCAACAGCGAGCAAAAACGACTCGAAGCAACTCAAAACCCAACGCATAAATCGCCAATGCGATGTCGCTGCCTCAGTCTCTGTCAGCGTCGTACTTGAAAACCAGTTTCGAACAAAAATGTCTACTGAAGTACAGCTAAATAACAACCAAAATAAACTCAACAATGTCTGTTTTTCAAGAAAATGCTAGCTAAAAATACCTGCTATCGAAAAGGTTAAACAGAAAGATATGGGTATAGATATGGGTATATGGGACAGGAAGCGAATCGATTGATAACTTTGATTGCCTCTTGTACCTCTTGAAGGAGCATAATATTATATATCTCCATTAATTAATAATCAAATATATATTTAAAAGATGATGAAATCAAAGCAAGATTGTGACCATAAACCCGATTAGATTAACTTTCACTTGAGCTTGCTTATCATAATGGCTTATTACATTTAAGTGAGCAGCGGTCACCCGCTTCTCAAGATTATTCTAGAAAATCTTTCTATCGAAAATTTATCAATTATAATTTATTCCACCCACTCTTGCACTCACCCACTTCCTGAGTCTAATCTGAAATTCTTTGGCACACCACCCACCCAACCACCTTTCAGATTGTATTCCATTCACAAAACCCAAGCGACCATTTTGCAGGCAATTTTGTGCTGAATACAGAGTCTGACGTACTATATAAAGGTACTAGTACTACCTGGCCGTAAAAACAGCGATAAGCAATTATCGATAACTCAGCTATTTCTGCATACCTAAGCGCGATTTTGTATGGAAGAGATGAGGGGGTAATACCACTTTGTAGGCCCATTCAGAGGGTAAAAATTTCCATTGTTCCAATTGTTGTTTTGTACCCAAAAAAAAAAACAGAGAAAACTCTGTTGTTTTCAGTTTCTGTTTTTTTCTATATAGATTTAGATATAGTACGATCTGTGGTTATAATTAGCTTGTCAGTACCCCTCGGAACTATGATAAGAATTGGTTACCTTTGATTTTCGGTTTTCGGTTCGTTCTGGGGCTACATCGATAGTGATAGTATTTATACAGTATGTTTTTTTTTTGTCGGTGGTTGTGGTGGTGCTAGTTATCTATGAGGTTGTTGTGGCTGCTAAGCATATATTTTACTATAACTACGAGAGTGTATTGGTGGCACGGTCTAGTTTGATATCAGGTTCGTTCAGGGGCTTTTAATTGGGTCGTTAAATGTTTTTCGTTTTCCGTGGCGGTTTTTTGGTAACTTTTATCATGTGACTGAAACGAACTCTGTTGAATGGGATTTTGGATTCGGAATCGGAGTGCGAGTGCCACCTACCTCTTCAAGGTGCTTTAAAAAAAAAAAAGAGCCCGAGGCGAGTCAAAAGTCAACTGCTTAACCCATTAATGCCCAATCAAATTCAAATTGTATGATTAGATATGCACACGGTATGTTTGTAGCTGCCTAGCTGGCATATAAGATGACCTTCAATTTCGGTCTGATTAGGGGTTAAGCATATCGCACATATAGGGGTGGCTTACACATGTAACTATTGTTGTGCCCTAGAGTGTGTGGCATTTAGCTACGGGGGTTGCTCAGTTTCCAGCCCCCTTCTTCCTGGATGGGTTTATTAATATCCGCGACGCTCCTCCACTCGCTAAACACTCCGGGTATGTGTGTTCTACATTATATGTTGTATGTTTCTGTTTGTTTCTTTCGGGGTTTAATCACTGAGACTCATCGCCCTCTCTTTGTCTAATGACGGCTCACCCTCTCTCTCACAGGAGGGTTGTTGTTGCCCCTGCCGCTACCTCTATTGCTGCCTTTTGCGATTTGCAAATGGTTTTCCGCGTTTAGGTTTTGTTTTTCTGTCATTTACTCGTTTGTATCACATTTTTATTTCCCGTGTGAAAATCGCAAACAGTTGAGGAGCCACAAAACAAAAAACTGGGAAACAGGAAGCCAGCCTGGAAAAAGAGGCAAAAGGGAAATCTCTTAGGTAGAAGTCCTTGTGGATGATGGTGGTGGTGGCTTGATGGGTTGTGATTTGGTTGCCTCGGTGGTTGATTGATGATTGTCTCGAGCTTGTGTTCTTTTCGAGAGGTGTGGTGGTGGGGTGGTGGGTTTTGATGACATTAGAGGGTGTTTAGGATAAGCCCAGGGCGTTAATTAACCGTTAGATCGATCTGCTAACTCGAATTTTAAACAGTTTCCACACACAGGAAGTGTTTGCAAATTTGTTTGCCTGCTTTTGGGGGTTACCCTTCAAGGGCCATATGTGATACATCATTCTGATGGGTTTCTGATGAGTAGGTAGATCAGGAAAATACTTTTGAATGATTGTCCTACAGTGTTTGAGATTTTCCTTTCAAAAACCTGTCTTCCTTCTTAACTTCTGAGAATATCTAAAAGATCATCCCAATTCTTCTAAGCAAATTTCTGGTGTAGTGTTCTGGGGAACTCCCTGGTGACCTGACTCTGCCACAGCTACCTGTTTCTTTTTTGGGTTAAGCGCAGCAGCTCGCCCATTGCCAAATGGGTTAAGGTTTACCTGTGGTCGGCATATTTCTCTTTTTTTCGTTTACCGTACCGTAAGATATCTTATGTTTCTTTCACCTTTTCTTTGCTTTCATCTTCTTGGCTGCAATGATGAATTACCGGCGAACCGAAAAAATGTCTGCCCTGCCGAGAGACTTTTCCATTGTCTGTGGGGTAGAGCGGGAGGAGGGGGGAAAATATGCGTGGCATGTGAGAAAAACGGCAAACAAGATACGGAGAGGGAAAATGGAAATACGCCGGAGCGGTGGAGTGGTGGAGTGGCATGACATGGAGTGGGGAGGTCGAGGTTGTAATGCTTCGCTTGCTTGTGTGTGGAGTGACCTTTTTTTGGGTCTTACCCCCTACTCCCCGCTTTTCTTTCATAAAAGAAACTGAAACAGAAACAGAAGACGAAAAATGGGCGAAAACATTGTCGAACTGAGAAATTGAGTGACAGACTTGGGCCCAGGCGTTGTTTTCGTTGTTGTTTTCGGGCAAACGAAGCGGATCGTTGGGAAAATTTTCTTTCTTGGTATCGGTATCGATTCTACCTCTCGAAGTAGGGCCAGTTCTGTGAAAATGGTTCAATGGAAAACTCCTAAACACAATAACTCCACAGACGACACAAAGCAACAGCAGTAGGTGGGTTGGAATGTGTTTTTTTTTTGTTTTTGGACCAAAATACCGACTGCTGTTGCTGTATCTTGGCCGCTTCTTCTCTCTTGAGATACTTTGTGAGAGTAGTATCTGTGAGTAGTGTGTGTGTGTGTGTGGGCTGTGTTTGCCTGTCAATTATGGGTCAGCTGTGCGTGAGAGCGAGAGCGGGCGAGAGAGCTTGCGGCAGGGGGAGGCACTGGGAGGCGGTCTAAGTAACAGCTGATGTGGGAATTCGGCAACAAAAGTCGGTCAACATTAATATTTTGATTTTCATATATTAAAGTGAATGGAAATATATTAAAATTATGATAATAGATTCTTTTTTGTCGACATCTTTACTCAATTCTTAATTCTAATTCAACTATATTTAAAACTATGATTATGATTATAATTTAAAATATTATTCTGTATTTATTTAAAGGCACAAACAACAAACAAAGCATAAGAAATAGACATTAAAAAAAATTTACATAAAATATCTAAAAACAAAAGCACATTCCATTTTTAATTATTTTCAATATTTATATTTTTTTGTTTTGAAATTTAGTTTCAAGCACAACAATTAAAAGTTTCTAGTGAAGATGAAATAAAACTGTTGATGGCCATAAAGAATTTTTTTTACTTTGTGTTTATGTTTATAAATTGTTTCTATTTTTAGCCCAGGTGTTAACTATTTTTAGCCAACAATTTTATTGACTGACAAGTGAGTGGCCCGGACACAAAGTTGAAGTTGAAAAAAATTCTTTTGGCTTGTTCTCAGTTCTCAGTGATTTGTATTTTTTTCACATTTATTTTTTTTTTAAGTGGAATTTATTTTTAGATATTTTACCTAAGTTTTCTTTTTCTTTTTGGTTTTATGGCAACAGCGCGTGGTGTATTAATTGTTGTTGCTTGGTTGTTGTTGTTGTCGCTAGTTGTTGCTTCAGTTGTTGTTGTTGTGGTTTTGGGTGGGACAGGTGCACGAGGCAGATGCCAAGCAGCAGCAGCTGTTTACTATCTTTCTCCCTCTGGCTATGTTGCTGACTCTTTCGCAGTGTTATCTCTTATCACTGAGGGCAGTTTTTTTTAAGTTTTTCAAGTTTTTATTTTTTATGCACTTTTTTCACTTAGTCGCTGGTCAACTTACTTTTTGGAATTGCGCTTCGTTGTTTGTTTGGAATACATGGGAATTTTGTCAACAATCAATTGCATGGCATCAACAAATACATGGGACAGACAACACACACTTGTCTCTCAGTGCTGCTGTTGCTCTTGTTGTGAATAGAATTTCTTCAAGTTGTTGTTGTTTGGATGTTTGTTTATATTTTGTTTTTTTGGAAAAAGTTCACTGCAGCATTTTCGATCACTTGGCTTTCTCACACACTCCCTACTACTCTTACTTTTCACTTTTTTTCTTTTTTTTGTTCACTTTTTACTTATTTGATTGTTACGCTTTCACATTTGTTTTGGGATGTTGCACAAGTTTAGTTGTTGTTGTTTTTATTTAATTTTTTTTGGTTGCCTAGCAAGTTGTTTAAAAATATTTCTTTTTTTTTCATAAATTTTTGTGCTAGTTTTAAGCAATAATACTGTTGTTTTTAGTAATCCGAGTTGTTGATGTTGCTGCTGGGTTGTTGTTGTGTGTTTTGTTTGTTGTTGATGTTGCAACAGGAACTTTGTGGCACTTAATCCAAAAAATGTGTGCTCGATGTGTGGTTTGTTTGTTTTGATATTCAATTGGTCACTAATATTAAGTATCCAAGAAATTTTGTTTGTTTACTTTTTGTCACTTTTTATTTTTTTTTTTGCAAAATTCAGTGCTTTGTTTACTTTTTGCGGTTTTTTGTCACTTGATTAAATTTTTTACGTTTTGTCACTTGATTTTCGATTTTACGAGTTTTTGGAAAAACTTCGTGAATTTTCGTAACCGCTTTTGAAAAAGTGTTTCACTTGGGCCTGGCTTCAGTGGCTTGTTGGCCTGGCTTGTGGCGAGCTGCGCTTTTCGATCCGCTTCAACCGAACGACGACAACGTTCGACGGCAGCCAGGAAGGAACTGAGTGAACTTGGCGCTGGCCTGGCAGCTGAGTCTGACATCCGGCGACCGACTGAGCTGCTTCGGGTGTTGGACGCCGAGCCGAATCCTCTTCGGCTGCCATCGTGCTTGCATCTGTATCTGTATCTGTGTATGGTAGTACAGTTCGGTGCGCTCTCTCGGTGCTGGTTGATTTATTTCAGGTTGGTATTTCGGATTTCGTATTTCGTATTCATTTCGGTCTGTTAAGGGGCGACGACGCGCGAGCACTTAAGTAAAATAATAATTACGTATACGTATGTCAATTTGTTTGACTTCTCCGCCTGGCGTTCCCTCTCTCTTGAGAGAGAGAGCAGAAACGTAGTAGTAGCAGTTTCGTAGTAGATTTCTACTGCCTTTTGCTGCTAGTAGTAGTATCTACTCCGTCTTTTCTCCGTCTCTTGCAAGTAAAAAAAGTAGTTTCGCAGCAGGCGTTCGTTCGGCCTGCTGCTACCTTTTTGGCAGCTGACATTTATTGGGTTTGTTTTGAAAGCGTTTAATGGGTGCGTGTGTGTTTGCGTTAAGTAGATTTTTCAGCACATTTGTCTTAATTGTTGTGATTTGTGGTTGATTTTTGAATGATTTACGGCGTGTGCAGTGCCACTAGGATTAATTGTTTTTTAAATGTCAAAGCTGAATAAAAAATAATTATGCGACAATTTTTCTAAGCATATTTCCTTATAAAAATAATATTTCCCAAAAATAAATAAACATAAATAAATGCATTTATAAATAGTATACACCTTATTGATCTATTTTTAAACAAATGAGAGATTTTAATTTTTTTAATTCGTAACCCTTTTATCGCTTGTCATTGAGTAGCCGCAAAATTGAAATACTTTAATTACCCGAATAAAAAACATTTAACAATTTAATCTGAGCATATCAATTGCCCCGAACACACACACTCACACCCATACCCATACCCATACACTCGCCCACATTTCACGCTCTCACGCTCTCAGTGCGCTCTCTCGGACGCAAAGTCTTGGCCAAAATCCACTCCCAATTTATCACTCAATTAGCACAGAAAAATGTAGTAGTGTATTTACTACGCTTCTGGGCTCTCTCTCGCTCGCCAGCCATCTTCTTCCCCTCTCTTTCTGCCGCCATCTTGCTTTCTCTGTCTTCCGCTGGCTCTCTCTCTCTTTCTGCTGCACAGCGTGAGAAACTCTCGTCGGCTTTCTGGTATCGGGTGTTCATCTCAATGAAATTGTAGCATATTTGTTGCCATATCGAGATTAAATTTTCAAAACACAAACGAGCTCAGCACGAGAGAGTGCGACAGTGATGGCACTTCGCAGAGCGAAAGAGAGGGCGCTAGCCGGGCCGAAAGAGATGGGTAGAGCGAGCGTGTAGCGCTGTAAGCATTCGTATAGTGCCCCCAAGGTGGGGGGATGTGTGGGTAGGAGCCTGAGAGGCGGTTGTGCAGTGGGTGGTTGGGTGGCTGGTTCGTTGGGGTCGCGATTTATTGATGACGCCGACGACGACGGCAACGCCAACGGCGACTTCGCTGCCACAAACGACGTCAGCGCCAACGTCGACGTCGCCGCTTGTGTTAATGTGTTTGTTGCTCTCTGGCATAAAATTATGTTTTATTTTATTTAACATGTTCTGCCTCGATTTTTGGCAGTCCTTGTCATAATTCGGATAGAGCAAAAGAGAGGGAAGCTGCGGGAGAGGGAGGGGGAGGGGAGAGGCGAGGTCCTGCAGAGGAAGTCCTTTTTTCAGGCTCGAGTGGTAAGCGACAGCAGCAACAACTACTGCCAGCAACAAGAACAACAGGCACAGGACCTACCAAGGACCGACAACAACAATAAAAAAAAAAATACCCGACAGTTGTGCGATGACGATGATGATGAAAAATGAAAATGATGATGACGACGTGGATGGTGGCAGGCAGAGGGCAGAGGCAGCTTCATTGGGTTATACTTATGGGTTTGTATTTGGGTTTGGATTCAGACCCGTGACGCACACACACATATGACCATAACCGGGAGTAAGAGTGTGCGTATGAAGGTACAGTGGTCACTGGGTAATAGGTTTTTTTTTTCATAATTTTACTAGATTATCAGTTTTTAATAATACCACTTATTTTTAAGGTATTTAAAAAGGTAGAATTGAGTAAAATACCAAAATGATGAAATATTACGTATACGTAATATTTGTTATAAGAAGGGGTTTCTACAAAAGGAGTGTATTAGCAAGCAATAATATTCTTTATTTCATATTATTTTCTCTTAAAGGATGGATTACTTAAATTTTAGACCTTTTGAAATATAACGTATACTTAATATTCTACTACTTAAGCTACTCCTATTTTTTTAAATGACTACCTTAGTGGAGTATTACTGCCATTTGTGGAGTAATACTGCCCTGTGTGTAAAAGGAAGTGTACTGCGTTGTAGGCTGTCGACATCGTCATCGCTGCTGCTGGTCTTGTTGTTGTTGCTACTAATATTGTTGTTGTTGTGGGTTTTATGCACGTGTGAGGGTGAGGCTGGTCGCACTGTTCACTGTTCAGTGTCGGTACCCAGTTGCCGGCTGCCAGTCCACAGTCCTCTCAGACCTCTGGCAACTGGCACTGGGATCTGCCTCATCCTTCTCACCAACAGACCCTTCATGCCTCGGATCCTTCGAAGCGAGTGCGAGTATCTGTATCCGTATCTGTATCTGTGTAAATGCGTTGGTTGTCGGCTTGTTGTTTCTCCCCCACTCCCCCACATCCCTCTCTGCTTTGTATGTGTGTTTGTGTCAGCCAGAGCTGCTTATGTGCGTTGTGTGTTGTGTGTTGGCTGTTGGTTGTTGGTTGTTGGTTCCTGTGCCTGTTCCTATTCCTGTTACTTTTGCTGTGACGAAGACCAGAGCACCGACATACTATAGGGTGAGCCAGGATGTGTGGGTGATGAGGGATATCAGTTTATGGGATACTTTTTGGGGTTACCCAGGGAAAACAGGCTTTATTTAGCCCTAAGAGGGGTTTCTTAAGGTTTAAAATATAATATATTTAAATTCTTAAAAATCTATACTATTTTTTATTGATCAAATGTCGTTGCCTTGCAGAGTATCATACAATTTTTGTTAGAACTGTCACCCTAGATTTCCAGGATCACCCTACTCTGCTGGCTGCCAAAAGCGGCTGTAAAAACAATTTAATGCATAAAACGACAAAAATCTGGTTTTTCACAAAAAACCAAAAACCAGAAGATGAAAAAAAAAACAACAACAAAAACAACATCAAGAGGAAAAAGCAGGCGATGAAAGCACTGCCACCAGTTGAGAGAAAATAGGGAAGTGGGGTTGCGGATGGGCCTTTCGATGGGGATTTTAGGTAGTTGCTGCTGCTTCTGTTCTTCTTCTTCTTCCTCCTGCAAATGCAACACCAGCAACAAACAGCAAATGTTGAGATTACACTAAAAGTAACTGCCAACAGCAGCAGCATCTACATAGCTAGTGGCAGAGCAGCAGCAGCAGCATGAGAGAGTGCAGCACTAAAATCAATTATGTAGCAGCAGCAGCAGCAACACCAGCAACTGCAACAGCAGCAGCGTGAAAATAGTAGTAGAAAAAATAGAGAAATAGCAGCAGCATGGGGGGGAGGTTGGGGCCTAGACGAAAAAAAGAGGTCGGACAAGGTGAGGGGGTGGCGGGTGGGTTTTGATGTCGGTCTGCCTGTTTGGCGCTGCGTCGGTCAGTCGGCAAATATGTTGCGCATTTGTGAAAGAGCAAGAGAGAGAGAAAGCTATATAGACAAGGACAGCTTTATAGTCAACTGCTGTTGTAACTGTTGTTGGTTGTTGTAGTTGTTGTTGTTGTTGCTGGGGTGGCTGGGCGAAAAGCTAGTAAAATGCGTGCAAAGGCAAACCCAAAGGCAGCGAAGAAAGAAAAGGAAGGTCGAAGCTGGAAGTACACTACAAAATAAGTAGCGTACTTTTAAAGAAATAAAATTAATAAAAATAAATAAAATAAAACTAATTTTAGAAAATTAAAAATTAATGCTCATAAATATTCATAAAAGATAAAAATAATATTATAAGATATCAAATAATATCAAATAAGATAAGTTATAAGAAACACTTTTCTTTCATATACATATTTACAAAAAGATATATTTCTTTGAAACAAAATAGATACAAATTTTGATCTAATAATATTCCTTTAAAACTTCCTATAGATTTTTTAAATTAAAATTTTAAGAGTACTACATAAACATTAAAAAAAATAAATACAAAAAATAAAAGAAAACCAGCAGCAGTAAACGATGAACTTTGCTGGCTGGTTTGTTGCTGTGGTTGTTTTTGTGGATGGCTCGAATGGTTTGGGCCCACAGCAAACACCTTTCCACGTGCAGGCCAACAGCCCCTGCCCCTCCAGACCCCTTCGAGCCACCTACCCCCCCTTTGGCCGGTAGAAAATAATCAGCGAAAAACGTAGGAGAAAAAGAGCGTGCAAAATTATGCTGAGTGCTTGGCTGGCTGCCACACAAAGTGAAAGAAAGGCAACGACAACGACGACGTCTTCGCCGCCCCAAGGCCCCCCATCAACCCTCCCAGCACGCCCCTGCACTCGCTACCTCTCTTTCGCTCCTGCTGCAGCATAAATACGAGAAGAAAAAAAAAGGCAGAGAAAGAAGAAAAATCAAGGGGGGTCGTGTGGGGGTCGGATTTGGGGCTGCTGGCGGACGTGAGGGGGCGTCATGGAGTCAGGGGGTGGGGCGAGGGTAGGCAGAGAGGTCGCTTTGCCGGCAGATACTTTGAGATTTAACCCCCC